AGAAATAATGTAGTGTTTGTAACAGATGTCGATACTTCTTATTTATTTTACACCATTACACAAGAGTTAGATATCTACGCTGTCTGATTTGTGCCAGTTCGTTGTTTCGGCCGATGAGAAGAGATTCTCGCGTTTTCTGGGCGAAAAGACGAAACAACGAAAGGCCCCAATAAGCCATCGTAGATATTGGACTTACAGTTTTGTTTAATATATTTAACTTAAATGTCGAAGTTTTACATTTGTACGCCATTTCATAAACATTGTTACATATTTCCAAACTTTAATACCACTTTTTTCCATCTGCCATTTAGAGATATATGTTCGCTTATGTTCGCTTCCACAAAAGGATTTTCACTGCTGTTTTTCGAAAAGCACCAAGCGCTAGACGGAGCACTTGTTATGCATTGGATTGTAAATCTGCAGATAAGAACTACGTGCTGGCCCATTATTGAGTTTTGGTCGAACAAGTGATCTGTAAAAGTGCAAAAGCAAATTACGGTCTGCTCTTCAATCGGTCTGATCAAGGACTCGTATAATGTGAAGCGCCTTTAAAGCACTCATCTTTCAGATAGTTTATATGTTGAAGAGATCCCAGAGGGATCTTGGCGCCCATCATCGAACCATCTTCACGTGTTCTATGTAAGTTTGGTCCTTTCTTTTCTTTAATAGTTTTAATTGTTGGATTGGAGAAAACAGTAAATACACATTCTGGTATTTCTTTTAGCAAAGCTTCATACTAGAAATAGTGCCAATAAACTTGTACTCTCAAAATAAATTCAAGGCGGTTGCCTTTCGGCCATCTTAGTTTACCGATCAGTCCTAAATTCGATATGCGCAACTAAGGATCACGGGGAAGTCAATGTGAAATTTGAGAAAATTCCTCCGGTACTCTCTGAACAATAGCGCTAACAATAATTGTGTAAGGTGGACGGACGACGGGTGATATGAATAAAGGATAGTTTTGAATCGAATATTAGTTCCCAAAATTAGGTCTGTTCATCAACTGGAATTTTAATGACATTAAGTGTAAGATTTTGGTCACTGTGTGGTTTTCGTTTTTGACAGAAATGCATGCACACAATTTGTTATTAAGAAAATTGACATTTCATCAACCTGCGTCTCTCAAATTCTTGTGGTGTAAGTCCGTAAAGAGTCACAATTTATCAAAGAAATCGTGAGGTTTTGAGCAAAACCTTGAATACCAAATGTACTGCCGCATGTAAAAGCATAAGGTTGGAATAAAAGTTATGTAGGTAAAGTTCATAATCGGAAAATAGAAATAGTTACGTTTATCATACAGTTTAGTAGTCAGCCGCCCCTGTTGGTCATGATGTTAATAAATATCAAGATAAGCAAAAACAACATTTGAGACCATACATAGTGATATACGTGTCTTTGTACACGTAATGGGAGTCTCAGTTGTACATGTTTAAATATCCATGGTAATACTACGATTAACGACATTCTATTTATCAGATAAAAAAATGAGATGAAAACAATCTTACCTTTCAGTTTGTATTTATGTTGATCAACAATCATAAAAATATTTACAAACAATACCACTACTGTATCAGAATGCACACAACTCTATATCTCTGTCTATATATGTAGTGCAACAGAGATATAACCACAAACAAAATGTAAATTCATCCGTATAAGATATTGATACATATTACACAATAAGTCACAGTGTACTCATTTTAACAGAATGCATATTTTTTTTTGAAAAAATGCATTGATTCCAGTACAGAACAGAACTTGAATTATTTATATATATGTATATATATCAACAAATCCTGAGCTGCTAGAATTTATCATGCAACATGTACTTTGTCTCTTGTGCATACAAAATTAATGTACCTATTGTTTTTTTACTGATTAAGTGAATTAAGTTTTCAATGATCAATGTTTCCAAGAAAATTTCTATCAGCAGATCTCGAGAGGTCAAGCTGGGAGGTACTTTAATAAGTAAAGTGACGAATTCAACCAACTGCAACCGGTATATCACAGCAATCTTGATATTTGACTGCATATATAATCTATACTACAACATCCTCGAAATCCCAGGGGTTGTGCTCTGTTACACTCTCTGTAACCATGGACTACACTCTCTGTAACCATGGACTACACTCTCTGTAACCATGGACTATCTACTGACACAATCAAAGGCTCTGTACGCACCACCTTCTGGAAGATACAAGTATATTAGTTTGAGTATTTGTTGTAAATCAAGGTGACAGTGTAACGAGCACAATTGTACAAGTTGTAACTCCTCTCTAATTTTGTCATGACATATTCCCGAGGCGCAGAGATCGTAAGAGAACATAACCCCTAGAATTTCAAGGATGACCCTTAACTCATTCACCCATGAAGACATATTTGAACTCTTCCAATTCAAAGGTTGGAATAGTTAATCATGAAATTTCAGGGGTGAATGAGTTAATAGGCCTGAAATTTGCAAGCCATTTTCACACAAAAGAAATCTATATTTTTTTTGTCCATCATAATTTCACACAAACAAACACAATAATTACAGACTCAATAAAATAAATGCATACTGGTTTCATGAATTTTCATTGTAAGTAAACAACTATAGTTTATTGTTAAGATCAAGGGTTCCATGATTTCCATGGCAATGGATGTTTTTGCATGTCTAACGAAAAAAGCTCATCTTTTCTGTAATAAGTATAAATGAAACTACTTTTAATTTAATAATAATATATATACATCATTATGAAATGAACACATAAGACAAGTTTAACTTGATCATTGAAATGTGAATAAAAATGACACATCAAGTGAGAAATTCTTTAAAATTCACCATGTTTCCTTCATGTAGTCTGTTAATAAAATGCAATGTACAACAGCAAAAATTAAACATAAAATGGCAACTAAGAAATGCAGTACTAATAGTTCTCCTTTTATTATTTATCTATTGGAGCTAACAGGTTTCAGAAACATGATGACTGTATGAAATAAGTAGTATATATAAAGCCAGTCACACACAGTGGAACCTCAGACTGTAGCAGCAGATTTTCTTTTCACAATCAACACTTGCTATGTCCCAAAAGTAATATCAAATATTAACAAAAACATCTTAAAAATAATTCTATATATTCTTCATTTAGTATATTTTTGGAGATATTAAAAATATCAAATATTAACAAAAACATCTTGAAAATATTTTTTTATATGTGAAAAAAACCTACATTTTGTATGACTTGTTTAAATCTGCTAAATGTGACATCAATTAAGAAATATCTTAAGATGAACACTTCTTTGAGATACATTTTTATGTGTAATTTTCATATGTTAAAAATGTACATATAAAAGTAACCTTTAAAATAAATAATAGATGCATTAAGTTTTACCTTTTTATAAGGAACAGAAAGAATCAAAACATGACCAGCAGTTACAATAAGACTAAGAGTGTTAACAACACATTATCTTTCGAGTGATTGTGATAAGATAGAAGCCACACATAATTGCACCTGGGTAATTATAGGATGAGGGATAGGAGTGTGATATATTTATACAACAGACTGGTACATGATGAAATATGGGAGGAAATTAAGATTCTTTAATAATAATAATAATAATAATTTGATGTTCTTATATACCGCTTTATTACAACCTAGTTTGTAGGTCGTCTCAAAGCAGTTAACACATATTTATCCGTGGTTATAGGGCCTTTGCAACCAGCCAATATCTTTCTCAATTCCCTGAGGAACTTACAGCCGGTGCAGTCATTTTGGCACTCACAGCAAACACTCAACAATTCTAACACTGCCCAACCACGTACTCATTCACAGCTGAGTAGACTTTAACAAGCCTAGTAAAGTATCTTGCTCAAAGATATAACAAATTGCTGTGATATGACTTGAACCCGCAACCCTTCGGTCATGAGCCCGGCATCCTACCACTAGATTACCGTGCCACCTAAATAACAATTACCCGGTATGTAATGCACTCTTATTTTACTGCTCCAACACGAGGACTGTAGTAAAATAAAAATACACATATACAGTTATGTTAATAGTGTAACAGGATTGAAGAGGAAAGGTGTCACGTCATGAAAATATGAAAGTCTGTTGTGAGAAGGGAGATAATCACTAATGAAGGACAACCAGTGGATGGTGACATGAGGGATTCCAAAACAGATATAGCGGGATAGTTTGTGTAGCATGCAGTACCTGGGTAACAGAAATAAAAAGTGTGTTTTCTTCACACAGGAGTAATACACTGGTTATAAATAACATAATGTTTTAGAAATAAATAATGTGCTACCTTTAATCCAAGTTTAAAATATATACAGTTGTGTGACCGCACAATGCACCAAAAATACTGTGCATACACCGTTCACACATGGTGCACACAACTGGGCGATTCAACAATCGTTCGCCTCGTTGTGCACTTCTCTCCGCACAACTGTGCGATTTGGTACAATTTGTTGATCAATATTACGGAACGAAAAAAATATATAAGGCTCGTATGCAATAATGAACGCTGTATATATTACTGTAATTTCTCATCACAATAATTAAGATTATGTACAATTTTACAATGCGTGTAACACCGTAAACAGTGACCATTTGACTGTCAAGAATGGTTTTGGCTCCTAGCTAGGTAACAGAATAGGTAAATAATAATTTGATGAGTGATCAGACTTTTACCTGGCCTGGGCCTGAAACATAGAGCTGCTATTTGATACTGTATAACCGTTATGAAAACACAACTGGACATTTAGTATTTGTTATTTGCATTCGTTTTGGTCTACAGATCCCCTTCACCTGGTTTTTACACCTTGGCGAGTTACGTAAGTGCCTCGGGCGGGGAAAAACTATGGTCAAGGTACAAAGTGGTTATGTTTTCCTGTGTTGCCGAGACTAGTGTTGTAATTTTTCGTGTGTCGATCAGGTCGTTTAAAAACACCGAAAACACCATTTCTGAATTTAAGAATGTATAGACAGAAGGATAAGCTTATAGATGTAGCTAGAATAAAGAAAGTCAATATGTTTAAACATGAAACCGTATATATTGTTAAGCCATTCCTCAATTTGCACCAACCACGATTGTTAAGGCACAACGTTCGTTGATCGTCCGCACATCGTGTAACATTGTGTGATCCCACAACTGTATATATATGTTGAACAATTCCTCGGGCTCTTTTTGAAAACAAAACATCAACCCGCATTTGCTTTACATACATCAAATAGGCAATTTAACATGAATACAAATCTGTTATTGAGTATGTTAAAACAATTGTTTAATACATTCAATAACAGAATTTTTATCAAAGAAAATGCAAGAGACAACACATGGTGAACATCCAGCCAACGAAAAATATAAAATCGTCAAAACAGGATTAAGGCTGCCATGTTTGAGAAAAAAAATCGCCACCAAAAGTAGGAAAGAACAGTCTGAAAGCAAATTAACTTATGGATAATGCCCACAAAGTTATTACACATATAAATATCCATCATTTTGCTTTAATGATAAACAAAGGTCAGATATACATTTACTGTACCTGAGACTATTAAGGTGAGATACTAATATGTTTCTTTGAATTTGAAAGCATGATAAGCAATGACAGTCATCTCCCATTGGTTATATTCTGTTAACCGCTTTAAAAGGAACTATAGACAGCTCAATTTATTACAAACACTCCAGAAATATTGTCAAAGACAGTTGTACTTTGGTCATCTATTCCATTTCTATTATAAATCTGTTTATGTACTACATGTATATCTAAAAGTTTTTTTCTGTATACTTAAAGTTATCAAAAGAAGCTTGTGAATGATCAGTTGATTATTGAAATAGGTAACACATTCTGTATTGTATTAAGACATTTTTATCATTGTGCAAAAGAAATCCTGCTTATTACCCTATAATGATATGGAGTAGTGATTTAACATTTGTAACACTTATAGTGGCCTTATCAACAGACAGACCTTAGTGTTTTACCAGAGGCCTGATCAATTGGTAGGTTTTATGCTGTTCAATAGAGTCATATTCAACAGGTGGATTTTACGTTGTAACATAGACCTAATTAACAGCTTTAATTTTTCACCACAGATACCTCATCAATGGGAAGGTTTCATGTTGTTCCATAGTGACCTTACCAACAGGTAGTTTTTTATGTTTTACTGTAGTGCCCAGCTAATCAATAGGTATGTTATATTATGTTGAACAGTAGAGATTTATAAACAAAATAGGTCTTATATTGTACAGACATCATAATCAACAGGCAGGTAATATGTTGCACAGTACAGAACTAATCACCAGGGTGATTTTATATTTTGTACCACAGGGACGTAATCAACAGGTACATGTATTTGTTGTACCAGAGAAATAAACGCCCGGTAGGTTTTATATGTTGTTCTGTGGGGATCTAATCGACTGGTACATCTTATTTGTTATGCCATAGAGGCCTGATCAACAGGTACAGGTACCTTTTGTAGATACCAAAAATCTGTTTATATTGTATATTGTACAGAAGCAGCACACCATAGTCATAAATAACGTATCAGGTATGTACATCTAATCACCAGGTAAAAACATAGGTTTGTACACCTAATCACCAGGTCGACACAGCAGATCGTACACCTGATCACCAGGTAGAAACGTAAGTCTGTACACCTGATAACCAGGTAGAAACACAAGTTTGCACACCTATCTGGTAATCACCAGGTACACACATGAGTTTATACACATAATCACTAGGTAATATACAAGTCTGTACAGTACAACCAATCAGATCAGATTTCTAGTACTATATGAGAAGGAACACCAGCTTTTTGGTCACTTTTACAGGTCTTTTGCTAGTTAACATGCATGCTGTTCAATGAGGCCTGCCCACAAATGAGTCCGAGTTATGCCTAAATCTCTTCACGTTTTTGTTACTTGGACGAAGCAGTTCCTGTATATGTTGTACAATCAAATCAATCGCCACTGGAAATAGATGAAAAAATAAGAATTGAAATATAATAGGACAGGTAGGAGTTGATCTATCTGAACAACATGCAAACATACCTAAATCATAATTGATATGAGTTATATATATATAAATTCAGTTTTGAAGAAGATAAATATATATATATATTATTGAGTAATGGTTGATTTCATTCACTAACAGATAAATTGCTATGATATAATTGTTTCATTATTTGTGCAATGTTTAAGTATCAAATTTTAATTTATTTTTGTGACACCATCATGTTCACAAATTCTTTGGGTCAGGTTTAAGTTCTACCATATCAAGGATGAAGTCCTACATGTCTGGCTATGTGGACAGATTGATACAAGTGAACAGAATATTTTCTATAGACTTTTACCTGTATTATCAGCCCCTCGTGGTATAATGACATCAGCATACTTTTTTGTCTGAAAAACATTGGTTAAAAAATATAAGTTGTGTATCATTTCAGCAATAAGATTACATCAATTCCTTTAATTTCCAGGTAATATTTGTATTCAAAGGCTCTCTGATAGCATGTACAGAATAAAACACAAGAGTCAAATGTCTTGAAACAAGAGGCCCATGGGCCTTAACGGTCACCTGACATCCGATTCAAATTAGGACTGTCATCCAGGGGCCAATTCATACTTTTCTTCGGTCCGAGTGACCTTCAGTAACTTCAGTAAATATGAACCGATTTTCATGACCAATTTGACCATAACTTACATAGTTATTCCCCTTGGTAATTCTATTATTGTTGGACCCTGTGAACACAATAACTGAAATAAATGGGTGTGACTCCAATTTTGACCCAAGGGGTCTGTTTTGAACAAACTTGGTAACTGTATGTCTTCTGTTCTTGGTTAAAAGAAACAAGTAAAAGCGTAAATCAATGATTTATTAAGGCACAAAATTTTAATAGCACCTTGTTAGTAGCAAAAATGCGTCATGAATGANGTACCACATGAATTTACATCTGATCTTGTGTAATGTCAAATGACAAAGGGCAATAACTCTGCAAGTTACCGTCAAATAGTTACCGGACAAAGTTTCAGTGAACTCCGTCAACATTTATTCAAGTTATAGTGTTTACAAGGTCCAATAATAATATTATTACAAAGGGCAATAACTCTGTAAGTTACTGTCAAATAAATCCCAGTTTCAAACTCATTCGAGATTTTATTGATATAAGACTACATACAGAGTTTCATCAAACTTGGTTGATATTTACTCAAGTTATAGTGAACACAAGGTCCAATACAAAATACTGTAATAATATTATTACAAAGGGCAATAACTCTGTAAGTCACTGTCAAATAATTCCTATTTTCAAACTCGTCCGAGATCTTATTGACATATAGCTGCATACAAAATTACATCAAACTTGGTTAATATTTACTCAAGTTATTGTGTTCACAAGGTCCAATAATAATATTATTACAAAGGGCAATAACTCTATATAATTCCCATTTTCGAACTCCTCTGGGATCTTATTGACATATGGCTGCATACAAAGTTTTATCAAACTCGCTTAACATTTACTCAAGTTCACGTGTTCACAAGGTCCAATAATAATATTATTACAAAGGGAAATAACTCTGTAAGTTACTGTCGAATAGTTCCCATTTTCGAACTCGTCCGAGGTCTTTTTGATATATGGCTGCTTACAAAGTTTCATCAAACTCGGTTAACATTTACCCAAGTTATCGTGTTCACAAGGTCCAATATTAATTATATTACAAAGGGCAATTGCTCTCTAAGTTACTGTCCAATAATTCCCATTTTTGAACTCATCCGGGATCTTATTGATATAAGGCTACATACAGAGTTTCATCAAACTCGGTTAACATTTACCTAAGTTATCGTGTTCACAAGGTCCAATATTAATTATATTACAAAGGGCAATTGCTCTGTAAGTTACTGTCCAATAATTCCCATTTTCGAACTCATCCGGGGTCTTATTGATATAAGGCTACATACAGAGTTTCATCAAACTCGGTTAACATTTATCCAAGTTATCGTGTTCACAAGGTCCAATATTAATTATATTACAAAGGGCAATTGCTCTCTAAGTTACTGTCCAATAATTCCCATTTTTGAACTCATCCGGGATCTTATTGATATAAGGCTAAATACAGAGTTTCATCAAACTCGGTTAACATTTACTAAAGTTATCGTGTTCACAAGGTCCAATATTAATTATATTACAAAGGGCAATTGCTCTGTAAGTTACTGTCCAATAATTCCCATTTACGAACTCATCCGGGATCTTATTGATATAAGGCTAAATACAGAGTTTCATCAAACTCGGTTAACATTTACTAAAGTTATTGTGTTCACAAGGTCCAATATTAATTATATTACAAAGGGCAATTGCTCTGTAAGTTACTGTCCAATAATTCCCATTTTCGAACTCATCCAGGATCCTATTGATAAAAGGCTGTACATACAGAGTTTCATCAAACTCGGTTAACATTTACTGAAGTTATCGTGTTCACAAGGACGGACAAAAGGCTATCACAATAGGTTACCATGACCTATGGTCAGGTAACCTAATAAAAAGCTTATTGGGCAAGGATAAGGAGGGATGATAATTATAACTTGCCAACTTTTCCTTTCCATCTTGAACCCAAATAAACCATGTAGATTTATGTTAAAGCACCAATCATTCAATTTTATCTTCAAGGACTGCTTACTCTTAGCTACAATTTCCTAACATATGACATATTTTTCTCCATAATACCAATTTCTTTTGTTGAATATAGCACTGAATATACTAAAGCATGCCACTCCATTGCAATTTTTTTGCAGATGAGGAAAGAGTATAGACATCATGATCAACATGCATATCCTTGATCATAGTTGTCAACACTTTGAACAGATATAGCAATTGAGGCTGAAGCATTAGAATGATGGTTTGCTTGTTTATGATCAAATATATTATTTAGCAAATGCATTAAGCTTAATTGGGTTCGTGTCAAAGATGAATCATGTATATTAAAATACAATTTAATTGGTTTTTCGCTATTCTGCACTTCCTTTACACATTGGTTATACTAGTGTGTTACCTGTTGCACATTGTCAAACAATTTCACTGTCATCAAGTAGTCCAATTCCCTTGTGCCAAAACAATTATAATATTTACCAAATTAAACCAGATTCAGAAACTCTGTTTTTTCATATTATATTTCAAAAATAATTTTGAATTTTCTGTTATAAGATTATAGATTTTCACATTTTTTATTAAGAATAGATAGCATGTTAACTTACAGGTAAACAGAATTCCTCAAACGCTGGCTTGACTAGTGTTGTGTATTGGTGAAGAATTTGTTCTATGTCTCTGCCTCTGTCTCGTGTATCTCTTAATACTGCAAGAAACAAATTAATTTTCATAATTAAATAATATTCAGGGTTTAATGCAGGAATAGAAAGCTAGTTTCTCTTTCATGAAATACGCGAAAATATGCTCTAGATCTGTAGGGTGGCTGCAGACGAGAGCCAGGGGAAGAGTATGAAAGGGGGGCATGGATGACATCTGAAATTTTTGTACCTCGTTCATTATAGATGCTTCAAATTGACCCCCGAATATGCTTTAGAATAAAGTGTTTGTGTGCCTGTTATGATATTGTTAACCGTAAATAATGTTGTAAAATATCGACAGTGACGATATAAACACAAGGAAAATCACTCAGTCGTGGAACTGCCGAAAAATAAAAACAAAATAGAACTAAGACAGATATTTGTGTGGTAGCATATTTGTATTTCGGTTACAAGTGGGGGAATTTTTAACTGAAACAGGGGAAACAAAGCTGAAATAGGGGAAAATAATGCTGAAATAGGAAAGGGGAACTGGCCTTTAATCGGCCTGTATATATCCATGATATAGAATTAAAATGTACTCAATGCAACAGGCCATCAGACAAGATTAAGTCCTGTCAATGTGGTGTTTTCCGGTGATAAAATTCAGCCCTGTCATCAAAATATTGGCTTAACAATCACAGATCAATTTTTTTTGTAGCCTTCCTTAGTTTCTCTCGCAGGCATTAAAGGTTTCCACCCTCCCAGCTCATTGGATAATTATAAATTGACAAACATTTTTGGTTACCCACTTAAACAGCTTACCATCTTGGGCACTATTTCATGTGTCAATCTTCTAATTATGACATCAAGTAGCAATATTATGCAATGTCATCTTCTATTGTGATATAATAATTCTGTATTAGTTCATGGCAATTCTGTCCTCGATTGGAGTAAGGAATAATGTATTCCCATAAGATGTATATAGTTTGCTAGATATAATATGAATGTTATTGGGTAGAAAAGGTCCCAAAACTTGTGAGAGTTGATTGCCATGTTATCTAACTCTCATTTAATAATTTCAAACTCATAAACGAGACTCAGTGAAAATCAACTAACTCAAGATAAATAAAAATGATAGCCCACCATCACTTGTTTGGGAAATTCTATGTCTCAATCAAGTGTCTATGGTTTTGTGTGTATATCATACCTCTTCTAGACAGTCTTGTGTCTGGATCAGTATCTACAAACAACTTCATATGAAACATGTCTCTGATTTCTTTCAGGTAGAATACAAGAATTCCTTCAAACAGAACCACATCTGCAGGGTATATCGTCTGACAATCCTCATCTCTACAAAAGAAAATTGTTTACATTGTTGTACACGTTAATAATCGTATTATATTTCTTTTAACACTAGAAAACATCTAGGAGGTCTGAATGACCCCTTGTCCCTGTGATAGACCTATAAATAGCAACAATTCCGGGGCATTTATGTTGGGTCCCTAAAATATAAACTCATCCGAGGATGCATTCTCTTATACTTGAACTTTGTATAAACTATGATAGAAATAACAGTGCTAACATTTACTTGTGGTGTTACCTGCTATTTCTGACAGTGAACTAATGGTGTTACCTGCTGCACATGTATTTATGGCAGTGCATGAATGGTGTTACCTGCTACGAATGTATTTATGACAGTGCACGAATGGTGTTACCTGCTACGAATGTATTTATGACAGTGCACTAATGGTGTTACCCACTATTTCTGACAGTGCACTAATAGTGTTACGTACTATTTCTGACAGTATACTCATGGTGTTACCTGCATTTTCTGAAAATGTACTAATGGTACTACCAGTAATTTTTGACAGTATTCTCATGGTGTTACCTGCTATTTCTGACAATGTACAAATGGTGTTACCTGCTATTTCTGACAATGTACAAATGGCGTTACCTGCTATTTATGACAATTTACTAATGATGGTACCTGCTATTTCTGACATAGTTGTAGTTTGGTATCTGTACTGTCTTTCCTTTCAAAATGTCTTTGATGGTCTTCAGCATGAATTCATGATCAAATGCATCTGCAATGAAAAAAATACTAATAATACAAATAACTGATTAAAGTGACATTTTGATCAGCAACAAAGGCCACAGTAGTTAAAAAAGAAATTAAAGAAACAGTCCATCATTGACACTGTGACTCTGGGACATCAAATTCACCAACGTCAGAAACCACACCTAACAGTTAACCACTTTTATCACTGAAGACATGTAAAAACAAATACAGTTCAATGTACAGCACTTTGTTGCCATGGACCAATGCAAATACTTGTTCTAGGTCACTATAACTGTTAATAAATTAATTTGAACTTTTACTTTTCATTTTTGATTACTGAACAGCTTGAATGATGTAGTAAAATATTGCTGTTCAGCAAGTGAAATGAACTAAAACAAATCAGGTCAGAGTGTCCAGACATAGAAACGTCTGACAAATTACAAATCAACAATGAATATCTAGTTAGCACAGATGAATAAAAGACTTTCAACATTTTAATGAAATGCATATTAAACATGACATGTAAACAACAGTCTTCATTAAATTCATATAATTGGAATATTCCTCTGTGTTTTTCTCCGCTCCTACAGGATTCATTCTTAATATATATTGACAGAACTTAATTATTATTCAGTAATTACATGTACACTAGGTCGCGATCAGTTATCGTGATGTACCAGTAATCATTGATGGGTTTGAAATATTCAGGTAATCCTGCAGGCATTTTCCATTGATACAATATGATAAACCTCCGTATACATTCATCAAGCATGTCCAAGTGTTTTCAAAAAACACACAAATAAGCAACATAACTCACATGATCGATTGAAAGACATTAGAAATGAAAACACTTAGCTATATATTTTTAAGTTAATAAATCCCTTATTGAGGCACATATACACATTAACTTCAAATAGAAGGGGTTTACTTTATCTGTTTTTAAAATAGCTTCTTTACCAAAGCTTTAAGCATAAAAAAACATCAATTTAAAGGAGAGAAATTGAACAACATCAGGAATTACACATGCATCTTTATTGAATTACTCAATATCTATAAAATGCACATTCATCTAAATTCTACTACACAAATATCTCGGCACCGAGACCTACTAGTTGGTGAAATCTGTCCACAGTGCCATTCACCACTACCGGCACATTACCATAACTACTCAAGCGGGGTTGGAGACGAAACCTCCTTATAAGTCAAATTCGGTACTGTGCCGTTGCTACTTCCGTATACAGAGTCCCTCGCTAAAATATCTTGAATGAATGCCGTTCACATATAAACAACAGTCTCCATTAAATTCATATAATTGAAATATTCCTCCATGTTGTCATACGCCATTCATTACCATAACTAGTCAGGATTCAGGATTGAATCAAGACACAGAATTCTTTCAGCATTAAGTATGATATTTTTTTCTTGATTGTTTACCTGGGTGATCAAAGTTGAACTCGCCACGGAGAGCTTTTCTCTTCTCATCCTCATTAAGGCTTCTGTAAAATGCATCCTGGCTGATGATGGCAACCTGTCTCTGGTTATCATCCACTTCTGTCTGCCCAAGTTGTTGCATTATCTTGGCACATACCGATGACTGGAATGCAATGACAAGTTAGGTTATCATGGCAAATTGCTTCCTGAAGGTGTAATATGCCCTAATCACAATTAAAGTTATCAACCAATAATGTAAATAACATGCATTAAACCAAGGTCACACATTTATCAGGGTTCAATTTTTTCTCATTAGCAACTGTTTTGCGACACAGGTGCTAATGAACTGTGTCCATGTATATATTTACTACTGTAGTAATAAGGGAGTTTCCGGGATGTTTCGCACGAAAATCCTGTTCGCCCTAGGTTGTTTCGTGCTAGGTTGTTTCGCCCTAGGTTGTTTCGTGCTAGGTTGTTTCGCCCTAAAACACAAATTTTAGGGTGAAACATTGTATGGTTTTTTATTTCAATTTTAGTAGATTTAAGTCACAAATTAAGTCTTCTTAGTATTCCATTAAATTAAAATAAATTTTATAAAAAGAAATGTGTACAGTTCACTGCATTCTACTTTTCTACATAAAATACATCTAACAACAATATAGAAAGTTATCAATAAGTTTAGTTGATATATTTAAATAATAATTATATTATTAGCGTATTATATTCAATTACATTTTTTTTAGGGCAAAACAACCTAGGGCGAATGGGATTTAGGGCGAAACAACCCTTAGCACGAACAGGATTTAGGGCGAAACAACCTGTTTCCGTAATGGGATATGTGTCTGATCATAATAGTAATATGTAAAATCTAAAAATGTTATTGCTATGCCACAAAATACAGGTGCTGGACACAGGTGCTCGGGTTCTGGAATATATGTGATATAGTATCGCACCCATTAGATATCACACTCCCTTATACTAATAAATCATAAAGGTATACCTGTGGTCATTTACTAGTATTAGGGGGTGCGATATCTAGTGGGTTTGATTATATATCACATATATTCCAGAACCCGAACACCTGTGGTCATTTATTAGTATAAGGGTGTGATATTTATTGGGTGCAATAATATATTTATATATACATTTATTCCAGAACCCGAGCACCTGGGGTGCTTGATACACTTATGATGTGACATTTTATCTTCAAATTGTTGAAGTTGGTCAGAACCATTTAGAAGTAGAAGATGTGTATAGGATAGAACACATCACACATCTCACCTGTGTTCTGTGGCCATTCAAATATCATTTTAGATTGTACCTATTATCATTACGATCAGACAAGTACAACATTAAACCTATAACAAAGCCTTTTCTATATGTTACTCTCTATTTGTTAGAGAAATAGAAAAAAATGCTGTTAGACTGCATATTAGCACGGAATTATATCTAAGTCCGTGATATTAGGTCTATCGATTGCTTCATTTTATACGGTGTGATGTTCAAGGTTTGATACAATGAATATTTGAGTATCATGTCACCTTTCCTGATGCTGTTCCGCCGGCTACACCTATCATAAATGGTCGGGGTATTCTGTCCATTCCGTTTATCATTTGATGGATGGACGAATCGTTCGTTCGCACAGTCGCCATCACGAGCGCGTTTTTGTTTGTTGCACACGACCTGAACACTTTATACAGTCCTCTGATCATTAGGATAAATTATCCACACAATCACAACTTCAATTGGTCTTCATCTGCTTCAATTCAATATATACTTTAAGTTACTGTGAATTCTCACGCAATCCCAAGCACGTGGTTTTGTGTACAGTTTACGACATCACTTCTGATCGGTAACGATTTACGGTAACTGGACCGATAAGGACATTAAAGTGGCGGATCCAGTCATTTTAGCTCAATATTTATTTCTATCTATCCTATCTATCTATCTATCTATCTATCTATCTATCTATCTATCTATCTATCTATCTATCGCACTTCTATTTCGAACTTCTTTGCATAGAACGTGCTGGTCTCTGTATTGAATTTTATGCACGCCTGGAACGGCTAGCTACAATATTATAGTAATTTCACACAAAACCGGCTTTAATTCAAACAGATTTCGGGGCGTAACTTCAAGAGCTTATCGACTTTTGCCTTCTGGGGAATCTGGTATTTCTATATTTAATGCTGTCTAAAACAGAGGCAGTTCTTTAAATTTACCTTTTCACGATTGTCTAAATTTATTCCTTAAATTATCTTGTTTGGACGAATTGCTGCATCAGTCTCAGTTATAATAACCCGTTTGAAAATAAAGTTTTAGCAAATCTGGAGTCTTTTGAAAGAGTCATGTGGAAAGAAAACCCCAAAATATGTGCATTTATTTTGACTGATGTAATTGACGACGTCATAACGCCATTGGTAACGCAACACCCCACGGCGAACTTTTTAAGCTCATCAAAATTACGTACCTTTTATTTAAGGCATATATCAAAAAATTTGGATGAAATATGATGAACTGACTTGATTCTAAAATGGACACGTATGTTTTGGAACACCCGTACGTTCTTATTGGACACTATCAAAAGTGATAGCACGGGACGATAAACCATTTCGTTTATATACCTTCATATAATTAAAGCTTTTATGAAAAAGGATAATTCCAGATATTTCACTGGTGAAACCTTTTTAAATGTTCACATCACATTGTTAGGGAGTTCTCATCTTACCAAAGAATGCCAGAGTCTGTTCTTCTTCAACTTGTTCCATTTCTACTTCCATTCTATTGTGTATCATTTTGTTTGTATTGTCCTCATTGTTATATCCGATATGTAGAGACTGTAGTGCCATATTTTGATATGTAGCTCAAAGTTATGACGTATTATTTGGTACTTATCATTTTTTACCATAGGGTCACTATTTTACCAATAACCTTGTTGCTCTGGTATACTTATATAAATACCAAGAACAAAACTGGTCCCAATTCACTGCCTTGAAGTTTTTACTTTAAACTCCTGCCCAAGTAGACGCTGTTCCTTGTACCAAAACTCTTTGATGTTTTCCCTCTAAGAAATATTCGATACAGTTAATTTTCCCATTGGGTGCCAAATGTTTCCAGTTTATTGAAAGCCCAAATGCAAAGTGTTTTTGAAGTCCAAATATATGATGAAAGTGTGATTCAATATTTCTCCGCTCCGAACCTTCCTACTCTGAGGTTCTTCCTGTATTGTTTGTATATGACTTACGTTTACTTCCAATAATTCATTTCTTCAATCTTTTATTACCAATGTTCTTTATTTTTCGACATTTATCAAGTATCTTTCTTGGGTCTCACCTCTTTGTGTACTACCTCATTGGATGACTTAGACCTACCTTAGTAATGTTACCATGATCTTACTATTTCTCCCATATCCGGATCTTCGAATCCGGTTCAATTGATGTGTTGGTATATCTTTTTAAAATAGTCTACAGTTTGTAAGTCGTCTTTCCTTATGACCAAAGACTTTTCCTGGACTCATTAGGGCTAATTGAATATCACCAATTTCATTCCTCGTCTTTTTGTGGTCATTCATTTCCAGTTCTTTTTTTACCTATTACATCATCATTGTCCTTTTTTCTGTTTTTACCTAAACCTGTAACATGAAGTTTCTTCTTTAATTTCATTTAATGCATCTTTGTTCGTACTGGAAATTATGATGTCGCCTCAGCCGACTCGAATATTCCTCGAGCGTTGTTCATTCTTATAAAGTAACGTCTTTGTAAGGACACTGAAAAATACAAAACCTGGTGTTGTAACTTTGTTCTTCAGAGTTCGACATTTATCAACCGCGACATGTTAGCACCGTAGGTTGAAAAGCATGAATGTTGCTATCAGCTAGGAAGGAAAGTACAAGATCGGAAAATCACAATCTTCATGCTAAACATACAGCTTGGTAGTAAGCCGTCACTGTTGGTAATGTTGTAAGTCAAGATTGAGATAAGTTGTTGTAGTTGGTCTACAATGCTCTTTCAAGTTCATCGACCTGGTCGCTATTATTTGAATAAAGACAACACCATTGTCGATTAATCTGAAAGTGAAAGGACTTGGCAATGTCATGTAACCTCTCTTGATAAGCTCTCCGATAAATTGTGTCTCTCATGAAAACAAAAACAAGTCTGACAAGAGAAGGACTGTCTGCTGGAAAATGTTGACATCGAACTCAAAACAAATATTGTCAACACACAATTCAGGAATTCGATAATTTGTATTATTTCTTCCTCAGTGTATTTGATTGTAGCCTGTTTCGGTTTTCAAAATATGTTCATATATAGTTCCCAACCCAATATTTGAGTTACCGCTTGCCTTTCGGTGAACATTTAAATTCATATTAAGAGAGCAACGGCGTTCCTTTAGTTTGGTTTTACAGTGGGTAAAATGTTCTTTTCAAAAGAAAGATTAATGCAGGGATTGATTCAAAATCTACATTCTATCAATTCCATATTTGCATTATACCGTGTATACCCTGTAACTTGACGACAATTATAATGGTAGGTAGGAAGGAGTTTTTAAAATTGGATGGTGGAGTAGCTTGATGATCCAGCGATTAAACGTTGCTAACAAGGATTTTTGTCCAGTTTCGGAATTCAATCTTTATCATTAACCAGTATGCAGAAAGAAAGTAATACATTATTAGCCAACTATTACTTGCGTTACATTCGTCCTGAACCCATGCATATGGATCATATGGCCATGATGTAGCCTTCGATATTCTGGAATGGGGATTCAAATCGTATCAATTTCTGTATATTACCCCACATTTTTGATGTCATACTCTTTTATATTACTGAAAATGCCTTCATCATAACAACAAGAACATGGCTTTGCACATATTTTAGTTTTAACACAAATAAGGCCATATTTATTAATCTAATTATTATTTTTATAGAAACACACAACCTGGATTATTTAAATAAAAACGAATCTGTTAATGCATAATGAATATCCAGTTATTCGCCTGTCTGAAATACACATCCTGTGGTATAAGGTCTTCCAAGGTATGCAGGATAAAACATGAATTACCCTTTTCTCTGCCAGATACGTATTGCTACATTATCTTTTTTTTAAAATTATTTTGACGCGGAGATGCACTCGTAAAATATGTTATTTGCATATGTTATCCGTAATTTTCATAAAAATAAAACTCAATACAAACAATTAATTAGATATGTATTCCATTATTTCCAGCATCACCACAACGTAATGTTACAGAAAATAAATGATCGCTTTCTGTTGGTTCTTTATGAAGCATGTAGCGATATTGTTGACCCCGTGGTTTTTCCTATATCGGTCCCAAACTCCGCGTTAACATTCTCCGTCTACCTGAGTATACTGAACGTTGTACCGCTCACTCGCCTCTTCCATCTTTTTCTACCTTCTTAACGGGTATTTGTAAATGAAAAATGACTTCTGTAAACGGTGTAGCTACCGTTTCCTATAAGAACATATTTTCTGTGATAGGTGTATATCTGCACAATGTTCTGATCATACTCATGGTGACCGTTTTGTGAATTCTTCTGGGGTTTTTCCGTTCTGCGACAGTTGGACTGCACGGCTTACCCTTTTTACTCATATCCGGCTCCGGGATCATGAAACAATCTTAGACTTAAGTTTTTGCTTATACTGCCGTCACACCGGACTGGCGTCGTTACCGCGTCCTAAACTGTCATATTTTGGAGAACGCCGATGGTCGCATTGAGAACGCCAATGATTTTTCTAAAATAAATCCAGATTTCGAGTCACACCGGAGTTCTGTGCTCTGCGATCTGTGTTTGTACACGGCGTTCCCAACACGACCTTACCGCGTTCTTACTGCGTCCTTGGAGTTTCTATTGAGTTTACACGGCGTCACTGCGGCGTTCATACGGCGATCAGCGGCGACCCCACTGCGACCCCACTGCGTTCTTAGCGAAATATCCGCCCTGACATCGCGGTAAGGACGCCATAGATGTGATTGGGTCGTGGTAAGAACCCCATAGACGTGGTAAGGACGCAGTAAGGTCGCAATTGGTTCCCCCGATCCTTTTCTCCGCGTTTACATGGCGACTCTACCACGTCTGTACTACGTTCCTTTGACGTTGTTCGGGTTCCTACTGCGATGCTACGGCGATCATGGCGACCTCAGGGCGATCCCACGGCGTCCTGAGCCAGGACGCGCTCAGGACGCCGAACCTCGGCGTTTACTTTTAACATGTCCCAAGTAAACGCCGTCGCTCTGCGACCTTCGGCGTCCTTGGGGTCCCCACGGAGTCTTGATGCGTTCTCACCACGACCCTACGGCGTCCATGGCGTCCCTTCCACGTCCTGGGTCGCCGTAGGGACGCCGTAGGGACGCCAGTCCGGTGTGACGGCTGTATTAGCCAATCACGCAGGATGTCACTTTTCATGACGTTAGTTGTGATTGGTCAAGTTCAAACTGAAGTCAAATTTAGACTTAAGATCACTTCATGATCCTGGGGCCAGGTCATATAAGATAACGCTGGCAATGTAAGATAACCATGGATATCACATCGCGTAGTAATACAAAAACTATCAGTTGCCCAATTTATGATCCCCTCGGGAGGAATTCTCTATCCACCTCCGGTACATACGAAATACTCTTATAGTCATTGCTTGTAATCAAATCATCTAATGATTTTTGTTAGAAGTAGAAGAATGTATGACATATATATAGAATTCTATAAACGCACAGGTATGGTTTCCTGATCATGTTATGCTTTCGCTTTGTCACCTAGTAACGGCAAGGTTGTAAGCTTATTATTTTGTTGGTATTTGCAATGCTTTCAAATTTAAAAGCTCTTTGTTAAATTATCATCTCATTGTGACATCTGACAATACATTCAAAATACCCATTATTTTAATGATTATTTACATTGAGGTTCCACAACAAATGAAAGTCGTTGATTATGTTTATGTAATTCGAGCAAATGTCAAAATCTTCAAAAACTTATATCCGAAGATATCGGGTGATCACCGACTTTTTAATGCGTTTTTGACACGTATAGCATACATGTACCAACTTTTAATATACCGAATTTAATATTTATCATCGAATTAAAATTAAATCCTATTATCAATATGCTATTGGCATATCATGTTACCAATTAATAACAATCAAATTTGAATCAAAAATGTTATAGATATAGAGTGTATACATTTTATACAACTTAAAATAATTCATTTTGAAAAAAAAGGATATAGAGTGTATACACTTCGGCCCTCTGGCTGATATGAGGACTCTCGGGCTGATATGGGGTGTGATATCAAAATGGTTATATGATAATCTCTAAATACATGCTGACAAGCATGAAAACTAGTTTTGGTGGATATCCCAGGATTGCAGGTCTAAACTTAAGGCCTGGTGTATTTTTTAAACGATTTTTTTTTTTTGGGGGGGGGGGGGGGGGGGGGGTAATCAAGAGTTTTAAAGCTTTATACTGCATTGGAGAATCCGGGATGGATATTGAATTTAAGAAAAAAACATTCAGTGAGTTGAGCAACCTGAACAACACGCCAGCTTCTTGAATCTGTAGCGGAAACCTTCACGATGTCCCAGAGGTATATGTAGGCGGGAGCAGTGCCAGAAAGTCTGATGAGGTGGTATAAGCAAACTGTATACTGATTTTATCTGAAGACTGTGAATGTCGTCTGTAAAAACAAGGAACAGTAATGAAGGACGTTTAACACCAATTCATCCACTAAACATTTTATTTTGTCTTCTTGTCTTTCCTTGCATTATTCGTGATCTCATGAACAATATATGATGTGATAATGATGACCTCATAATATTGAAATATACCACATTGAATATGTATGGATAGTTTTCGATATGGCGTCACCGAATACACGTATTCTTGTCGCCATTAAACTTGTCAACTGTCGCACTCTTGAAAATATGTATAACACCTTCAGGTATCTTCTGTTTATCACATAATCATCAAAATATTCATTAACTTCAAACGTGTAAAATATTTACGTATGGATTTATGGACATTTCATAATGGTTTTGAATATCGTGTTTGTGCAAAATTCAAAAAATAAAAGATCATGTCAAAAATAATTTTAAATAACTCCTTTTCAGTTAAAATTGATGGAACTCGTCAGGAATATCAGTGAGCAAGAGACGCTGTATTTTGTGTGACAGTGGGTTGGTCACTTTAACAAATGCCAGCAAACATGTCTAACAATGATTTTTTGTTGTTTATGAGATGATGTTCCGACGAAGACTCTTATATTTATTTGTATGTAAGTGTTAGGATTCTTCAGTTACACTGTCAGTTTAGTGTTTTCATATATTGTGATGTACACAAGAAGACTCAACACGCAAAATAATCAAAGTAGGATCGTCATTAAACATGGTAAAATGGTTGATAATTGCGCCACTCAATATTCATCGCTTCTACCCTAGGCCTAGACGTCAAATGGCATGCTTTGAAAAAAGTCACCGCGTAGATATATCATAGTTTACGGTACCTGCTGAAAATAATGATGTATTTATACACATGTATTCAAATTTGAAAATACGATGCTTATACATTTTTCAGCTGAAATGGGAAGCTGTTTTCATTTATTGTTTTTGAAGCATTGCATTATTTGTCTTATATCTTATTTCATTGTTCTTTTCCTTGCAAACTCTTGTCTCCTCCAAACAGAATACCTGTTTTGGTGTCCATCACGTGTCGCATATTTCTCATTCAAACATCGTATCGTGTTCATTATGAATCATCAATGTCTCCTCCAAACACATCATCATTTAACATCATACATCACCAATGATACCTTTCACAGAATCGTTTCACATAATGTATCACAAATGTCTTCTCCAATCACAGCATCGTTTCACAGCATACATAATCGATGTGTCTCCTAGTAGAGTGCCGCGTCAGGAGGGTGTTTTCGTCATCATCGTTGTCAAATGATCTGCAGGGAAATATATATAAAGATATAGTTAATAACAGACGTTTCCTCTTAATTCGCTCACGATTATTTGCACTTAGAACATATCTAGTATAAATAACTTAACGCGCTGTATAACGCTTGAAGATAGAATATATTAACTCTCTTTATGTGATGACAGACACGAGTCTGATGAAGCAACAAAAACGTTCACTAGAAGAAATGTTCACTGTCCTACCTGCAATGTGATTCAGCCCAAGATGATTTAAACATTTAACGAGTTTTCGGATCCCATATCCATTTTGTTTCTGTTTCCAAAGCGACAACATTCCACGACATTTCGACACATCGTCTGCAGTTTCAGCATCAATGGTGTGGATCTCCGATTCATTCATGTCCAGCATGCTTGCAATGTCCTTCCATCTAGATACTACTTGACTGCTTTTGCATACCGATAAGATCACAGTCTCCATCTTATTATCTAAAATGAATATTTACGATCACAATAACATCAAAACAAGTCACAGCTATATCAAATTATCATATTATACGTGTATTTATTATAATTGATAAAATAATTGTGTAATTAAACGCAAAGTTTTAAGTATAATTTTAAATTGCTTCGATCAATAAAAGCACATTGTTTAACATAAAAAACCCAGTTTGAAAATATTTTATGGAGTAAATAAAAAAGAGATGTACTTGACCTCTCGTATTCCTGGCCTTCTCCCGTCGGTACCTTTTGCTGCTGTCTCTTAGAGCATCTGCCAGGTCATCCCTACCACTGTTACGTAGGGCCGCAATCAGAGCAGATGTCTAAGGATCAACAAATACAAAAATATACTACAAAATATTAGCATGTATATACAACAATCAATACAAAAACTTGTATGGTCGAACAAAGAGAACGATAATTCAAACATATAATTTTGCACACCAATGACACATTTATCTTACATTTGTATGTTTGCACAAGTGTTTCGTAACGTTGTAATAGTGAGGGAAATCTGCGTTAAATTACTTTTTCATTTACGATCAGGGATCGTTTGAACCATGTCATGAGGATATCTCTTGCCAGCTCTTGGTTCTTTCCCTTGTGTTGCTGTTTGATTGACTGTATTCTCGGATGATCAATATTCAGGCTATTTGCAAGTGGAAGCCATCCCTCCCCAATAGCCTTTGCAAGACTCTCAAGAAATTCTGGTGTGATTGTCCCTGCATAATGAACAGATGTAAAAAACGTTTGTTTCACCCCCTCTGGTAAGTGTGAACAGTGGCATTGTAGTTCCTGCAGGTTTGCTTTAATGATAACAACAAAATATCAAAAATAAACAATTAACTGCATGGTTAATTTAAAATTTAACAACTACTTAGATATTTGCATAAAACGGACAACATGGCGAAAGTTAGTTGCTGGGTGATGGTGTGGATTTTTTAGTGATAGAGCAAATTTTTACTAGCGAGTGAAATAGACAACACTCTAGACAACAGTAACAATTTGTTGTTTATTAATGTGCTAGATTTGAAAAATACAGTTCCTGGTTGTATGGACACATTTTCATAATCAGAAGTTTTGAAACATTCATTTTGAGAAATATGTTGTAAGGTAATTAATTTATGAGACGATAAGTTTCGAGACAATCGACTTCAGTAGATAACAGTTCTTTGTTCTTTTGGCATGATATTCCCGACGCCAGATAACAAAACATAATGTGTTCGCATGTTTGGTATGCGTAAGGACTTTTAAATTAAACCGCCTGATAGAATAACTAGTAATTGTTATGATGACAATTACAAAAAAAACATAACAATTAATCAGAATGAATAAGATGAACTAATATTAAATCATGGTATTATTTAGGTCTATCTCACCTTCGTTTCGCACTGTTACAGGAGCCCGCACTACTTTTGTGGACAGCCTAGGCACTGTCTTGGGAAGCGAGATGGGTATTTCAGTGATGATATCCCAGAATGCTTTGTTATCAACATCACTGTGCTGACAGTCAAACGGCTGCTTCGCTTTCCATACAAATATTTGAAGAAATCCACAGAACGAAGAAAGCGACCTCTGACAAAATCTGTCGACTATGTCAATCGTCCAGGCCGTGTGAATCCCATGAATTCCATAATAACGAAATATAGTTCGATGATTGGAAATTGAAGATACGTTACCACGAAAACATAAACACAGTGTATCGCCCTCTCTCATTTTTATGGCTCTCGTGGTAACGATATTGTCTGTCTCTAGTCGCATCATTTGGCGGGAGTTAACGTTCGAGGCTCGGTCACATGACAAGGCTAGTTCGTTAAGGCACCTTTTGTTGTGAGCCAGGCATATCTGTACATTTTGATATTCGATATTAGACAGAAGTCGTGGAACTATATCTTGTATCACTTTTGGCAGCAACTCCTCTGTGACTTCAAGCACAACCGAACTAAAACAATATGTTTACAATTGTTTATATATACATTGTTAATGTTAAGTTATACAAATATTAACATCTTCTTTTTCTACAAAAAATATTATGTTATCATGTAGGTAGTTGTGATATTCACATGTCAAAAATGCTAATAAACTTAATAAAATATAAACAAATAATGGCATAACGTTATATTTCCCTTCCTACACTAACATATCAAACGGATTCTAATTGTATAGTATGTATTTCAATGATAATTAAATTAATTGTTTATTATCAAATAAAAACCACTTACGTGCTTGATTTCTCATGTACAGAAAAAATAGCCTGGTCATCTACTGTGACATCATCCGAAGACAACGTCTTGACCTTGGTAGCCATACAAGATGCAAAACGAACAAGACGGCATTCTTTTTCTTGACTAGGCTCTGTAATGATATTCGGTGGTGATAATAAATGCCACCCAACAACAAATCTTAACTCATTAATCGCCAAACATCCAATACATAATAAAAAGCACAACAGATACGAAATGTTAAACTAGAAGAATTATAATTGGAAATCATATGGACCAAGTTTACTGGTGCGGCGGATACTTCTAATATACAAATCAATTACTATGTTAAGAACATCATATTTTTTTATGGCAAACAAACAGAACGCTTTGAAATATACCGACATTTTCTATGAGATATTTACATAGCGAAAGAATATCAATAGTTCTCTGTTATATATATATCGTGTAACGCACATGCATACCCACAAATTTGCCGAATGTCGAGTTTTTCCTGCCCATCTGGCCTCCCCTAGACGTTGACCTGTAACCAGAATCAGGAGTTCCTAGACAAGAAGAGACACGCTTACTGCCAGTCATAGGACGGGAAGGTACGGGAGGTCGAGTACACGGCAGGTGCATGTATATTGTCTGGGGATGGTCATCATAGAAGTTAAGTGTGACAATGGCCCCAGCATTGTACAGTTTCTGTCTGTCTGTATCAAACGTCGTCTTGGTTTCTTCTAATATGCAAGGCAGCACAGGCAGCACCTGACAATTATAAATATTACATAATCTTGCATTTTAACTCTTGCGAACTTCAATATAGCTGTTAATTCGGGAATTCTTGCTACATGTGACTATTTTAAATGTTCTTTGACACTATGCAATTATTTTCTCTATTCAGAAAAAATGGTATGAGACATAATTATTTGTATATTTGTTGGTGCTTACATAAAAATCTCTTTCTTAGCATATGCTCAACAGATCTGACCATGTTTGTTTTCAAAGACGATCTTGTCCCTTTCCAAAGACAAGGTAATATCTCGTTGACAACAAACATGGTTAGATCAGTAGACTATACGCTTAGAACAAGGTCCTTAAGGATCTTTTCTCTAATTCCTCAAGACTAGGCAATAACACCAAATACGAAATGCTGCCTTTTCTATCCTTTTCAGTTATTTTGCACAATTTTGCATATGAAAGGGAGGAAACGATTTGATAATGAATCATTTGAATGTTATGCTTATTGATATATTCAATTAGTATGGCCGTGCTGCGTCGAGTGAAAGGGACTCATTTGTTTACTGTAGAATTCCAAAAAACTGCAACTTAATTGTTGACTAGATAAATGTTGTAAAAAACATAGAGACACATGTACGAGACCAATCAGAAAATATTATATGATGCATGTTATAACCGTTTTATATTTCAGTTTTTGGTTATATGACGAAACTGTTATTACGACATATCACTAACGACTTAGACATCATCAGTAGGTAGTGATTTACGCTACTTATTGTGGTTTCCTTTAGTGTCCGTTGACCTAACACGACACCTACCTTGAGTTCGACATGGACATTTTTAGCGTTGATTCTAGCACTGACGGGACACGTAAGGATAATCTCCCTGTCTACAGTGGAGTGAAATCTCGTCATCTTGTTCGTGAAAACAATATCGTCCACGATCGGTTGGGCAACTACCACGCACGTGGTGGGTCCGGTAAACTTGGCCATCAGTACAAAAATGTTCTGTAATGTACACAATAAACCATTTATTAAAATATATTTTTTTTTATCTCCGTTCATTCTTCTATATAGTGTATACACAGTAAGAGTTCCATTTGTAATTATGATACTGACTATACCTCTAGCGACATTATTTATTGGAGATGATTGTCGGTTGCAAGCTATTGGCTTTTGTATTCATTGAACGTTTCCTCCGTTGAATTTTCATTCGACTGTTATTAAATTTACCACATCGTCAGTAACGACAGAACATGAACTTAAAATCGATACGGTAAAAGGACAACAACAGGTGCTGAGGAGATATCAAACAGAACCCCGTGTTAAATCAGGGGCGAAAACCTGGCTGGTATTTATGAAACCGTTCTCAGGTTCAAACTCTGATTTAGTGATCAATTCCAATTTCTTATTCCGTTAATAAAATAAAGAAATATTCTTTTTTGTCAATGGTAAGAATTTTTTTGATGAGACTACAAGCTAAATACCATTTTAAAATGTTACACTTGCCTATTTGACAGTGTCACATTATTTAAGGGAAATACACAAATGTTGCTTTTGTTTTGTTTTGCATGTATGTGTGCATGTGTCTCGGAGAAATGGTGTGTTTGTGTATTTTCCTCCTGGTGATAGAGTTGATCTTATACCGACAAATGTTGGCTTCATCACGAGAATGTTTCCACAAATACGCACCCGGGTATTCCCGAAGAGTAGGAATTTCCTGCACCACATGTGGCGCCCGTCATGATTTCTCAGGCTAATGTCTGCACGTCATGAACGTTTTTATCATAGTAGATATATAATCTTTAAGATGGAAACCAGGTCATTATGACAATCATACTGTTTCGGCATTGTATAGTGAAATAGAGTGAAAGCGGTCAGATGAGATACCCTGGCTAAGTAGTTTCCCGGTTAACAAAACGCATCCCTCCAGAAACAATAAAATTAATAGAACAGACGCGACTCCTCATTTGATTTCCGTTATCATGTACTTTTTCGAAAGCTGTTATAGAGACGTTGAAACATGTGTGGTTCTGAATGTACAATATATATCTCACAAAATGATTTCGCATTCATTCATTGGATTTAAATCGGTCAATAACATTAAAAACATATAATTCCTGTGAATATAAGTTAAAAAAAAGGGTAAATCGTGGCGTTTTGAAGCCATAGTCTAACATTTAACATTGCATATTGCTTGACATATTTAGATGTATATTCGTACTATTCCTAGTCTTACTGATTCATCTTCCCGGTCATACAAAGTTTCCCGGCACGGATATTCATTCCATCTGTCTTGTGAATCAAGCACACGCAACACGGGTTCCTGGTAGTAATGCATCTCGTCCTTCACGAATGGAATTGCTATAGTAACCTCATCCTTCAAAAGACAAATATATGTGATTAAACATCCAAAAAATTATCAATATTGCATATTTATATATTTAAGATGCAAGATACAAATACGAATATGAATCAATACACATATCATAAAGAACTGAATTCAGCACAATAGTGTTACACAAATATTTACATTGTATAAAACTATTTCTACGCGTATTTATTAGGCTTCGTTTGCTATCTTACCTCGTCTTCGTCACCACCTTGGTTCTCCACAGGAACTATATGAATGATGTTGCTGACGACATTTTCGTATAAATTGACCATTGAAGGGACATCAGCTGGATAGACGAGAGCGCAGCGTGCTGGATCCGATCTATCTGTCTCCGTGTAAACTACACATCCCACAACGGACTCCCCCTTATAGTCATTAACCATTATACTGTAACAGTTGTATAAATATACAATGTATCTAACAACAAACCCAGTCTTCAAGTCACCAATCAGTACATTTTAACAGTTAAATAACTATCCATACTCATCGCTCTTGTCACCAACCATTATACTGTAACATTTGTATAAATATACAATGTATCTAACAACAAAAGCAGTCTTTAAGTCATCAATAAATACATTGTAACAGTTAAATAACTATCCATATTCATCACTCTTGGCATCAGCCAACACTGTAATTATTGTATGAATATTCGCTCAGCTTTATACATCTAACAACATTAGATACATAAATTCAATGCTGATGTCATCAACTGGTACAGTGTAGTTATTGAGAAAAAAAAATCAATAAACTGTTATATCTGACACAGCAAACTTATCACTGTTCACATAAACCATCACGATATTATGATTTTATAAACATATTTGAAACAATATATCCAACAACAATATAAACTATACATCCGATTGTCATCTCACTCATTAAGTAACAAAACAGCATGCTATATGAATAAACTACTCTATTAAAATTAGGAACTATTGCAAATTTTAACGGTAGCTAACTACAGCCTGAACAAAACATAGTAAAATATTTGGGGTTCCTCTATTGTTAGTCATTTACTAGTTCGGTGTAACAACGTGAAAGACAGTATGAACGATATGCACCTCCCCGTCATAACAGAAAATATTAAATACACAAGTTTTTATTCTTTCGTACGTATATAATTATCTTTTTAATAACACTTATATTTCAATATTTCAATTATCAAATAGGCTTTAAATGTCATCAGCAATATAGATATTTGGTGAATCAGATGAAAAGATGTTTTGTCAGTAATGATTATGTTGCCATCAACGTTCGCGATAATATATATTAACATGAACCGACTTTTTGACGCCCAGTAGTATAATGAGCATGCACATATCTTTGTTGGAAAATAATTGAATCGATACAGGCATTAATTATTAAATTTTCATATGTCAGGAAGTACACTCAATAAATGTTGTTTAGATTGATTCCGTTTTTCCAAAATATATATGCATTACATACGCATTCTAATGATAAATAGATAATGGTAAGATGAATACACAATGCAATAACGTAGGCTGTAAAAATGTCACGCATGAAAGTCACAGATCAACATAAAATTTTGATATGCTGTCTACTTACACAACGTCATTCATGTTAGAATAGGTGCTAGCCCAGTCCATGGAACATGTGCTATCTGAAATAGATAAATGATTTTATTACATCTTAACGTAAGCAAGACAAAACAATGTAACAGCATGTATATGGTAAGCATGGCCATTGTAACTACTGTCGACACATCAACGATTTTAAAGACATTTCATAGACAAACTCAGTGTTTAACTTTTAGATCACGTCACAAAGGGTCGGGTAAGAAGTGGTTGGCGGTTTAAAATAAAGTTCTTTTGAGCACAAAATATTAATTTGAGTATAAAAACAGGAGTTTGAATACGGTTCCCGGATATGGATTTCAAAAACAACCAAATATACAATGCAATTTTACACTAACAAACATACTGTTTTTTATAGTGTTCTATAATGATAATAGTTGACACATCGTAACAATTTGTTGCAAAATATTTGGTATTTATAAAACTAATAATTGGCATCTTAAATCAGGTCTTAAATGTTATACGTCAGTAATTGCAATATACAGATGGACTGTGCACGTACCTTTCCGCGAGAAAGTTTCCTCGTCAGCAGTCTGGTCGATTTGGAAACTGAGACGTGATGTTACTTTATCCCTTACATCATTGTTGATCTGTACTGTCTGTTCAACGGACATTTCAGTCGACTGGTCATATGAATCAACTGACTTTGTGCTTTCCCTTCGTTCAATACTTACCATAACCTCATTTTCTTTTACTAACCCTAGGTCATCGTTTGTATTGACCTGAACGACATCGTCGTCACATTCAACCGTGTGCTCACTTTGGTCATTTGTTGAATCGTCACATTGTCCTATTGTCATATTACTGCCATTGTCATCTTCTGTGTTCTGTGTGCCATCATCATGCTCTATGTCCATATTGGATAACTGGCGGACAGTTGTCATCTCCTCATCCTCTTGGTCACGGTTGGAGTCTTGGGATTCAAATGTTGTTTCAGCATTTTCCTCAGTTTTTGGAGTTTCTATATCTGACGGAGGAGGGTCAGATTCGTTAGTGTCACACGTGTCTGATGTGTTCCCCGTAGCATTTTCAATCTCTGGATCATCATTTTCTTCCTTCTTCTCTATGTCGATTTCAGAAGGTGATGCTATTGACACAGTTTTATCTTGATGTTCCCTTACGACAGATGAGTCTGTTCTAACACTGGCTGCCACTACCTGTCGCATCAATCGTAATTCTTTGTACACATCCTTCATAGTAAGTTTTTTCGGTCGCTGTTTACATTCTTTGTCATGTTCTTCAATTGATACATCCCCATTTATTGTTGATATGTCATTATCAGTTTTATTTGTGTCTTTTTGCTCTGAGAGAATTTCTTCTAACATGGGTTTTTTCGTCAACACTACATCTGACAATTGCCTGTCAAGTTTGGGCCGACGACTCCATCGATCCTTCATGCTACTCAGTGCTTCTGAAAGTTCTTTTTCTCGCGCCATGTCACCCATATTGTTGTACGTATCCGTGCAGAATATTGCCCGCCTACGATAGCGCCTCGCTTTGGAATGTTCCCATGTTTCCTCTATGTATTCTGTGTTCTTCTTCGCGGGATTATCTTCCGTTTCCGGTACTACGGTAATCGTAGAATCGATGGATGACATCTGTCTACTTTCTAGTTGACCTGAGCTTGAACTAGGTTGTGGATCTGCTAAATATAACAAAACTATATGCAATATAAACACCAACGCACATAAAATCAAACTTGTTGAGTCAATCACTTTATGATTTATATAAATACAGAAAAAGCACTATACAATACGTTCACTAAAATATAATGCATACCATTTAGTTGCTTATGCTGGTTTCCGTTGTTTGTAGAGCACTCTCCTGCTATGCTTGGTGCTTCTATCTGGTGATTGACAGGCATATTGTGCACAGTGATGTCAACCGAGTGCACCGCCATTGCGTTTCCATTGACAGTCGGCATGTCACAATAGTTTTGCATTCTAGAGACTATATTCCGGCCCGGATCATCATCAGTGTTCCCTGCACCTTTTACTCTTGACGAAGATGGAATGTGTTCATCATTATCTCCCTTTGTGCAGTTGTCGTGAAAAGACCCGTTTTCTTTAATCTCAACGTTAACTTCAATGTTTTGTTGTTGTTTTCCTCCACCACCTGAACCTCTCCCAGTAATGTCTTCTGAATGTTGCTGGTTTTCTGGGTCTGTCATGTTTGGGTGAGGCTCGCCACAATTACGTGAATAACGATGATAAATCACTGTGAAAACAAGAGAAAATATTCAAAATATCACAAAAACACTTTTAAATGATTCTTTTTACGTGATATCGATTTGTTTATCATTATGAAAGGGTCACGTCAAAAGGCGCAAGATATAATACAACACTCTGGGTATCTTTGTTATTTACATTCGAGCTTATCTCTCAATAATTTTCAATCATTTATTGATTTGTCTACTTTTTTTTCATGTTTCCTAATGTAATCAGATAAATGAGATGCAGAGACATTATGAATCTTCTATTTCGGAAGGACTTTCTTCACATTAAGAGCTAAATCCAATATAGAGGAGATGGTTATGTCAATACTGAGGACAGGAAATTTTACATCACATTGTAGGTTATGGTAGTAAAGCGACAATTATTGTAATACAGTACTATGTATACATATATAATGAGGTCAAGTATGTCTCAATAGTCATTGTTCGCTAAAATGGATACGCCAATCAGGATAAAAAGAAAATGCATCCTCCTGTAAATGATATTACTCAAATCATTCGACATCAACTTCGAATTGGTACGAGCTGATCGGTTTTAATTTTGTGAGAGACAATTTAATGAATGCGTACCGCAATTAGCATATATGTTAATTGGGACATAGAAACATTGTAAGGGACACTGACTATTTTAGAACCTGACATTTAATAAAAATGAATAAAATTGTAAATACGTTAAAGGTAAGAATACATAAATCATTTGTTGAGTTGTTGTTTTGTATCACATCCACAGAATCCTTTGGATAGCCTAAGTGTTTTGTTAGGCATGCTGACTTTGTACATTTAAATGGAATTCTCCATATTTAACGCGTTTGAAAAAAGTACATAATGTTATGATAATTATTTATGAATATGGTTCTTTTATATTTCTTAGCTGGATGCTGTTGGTAATATGTTCTATGGTAAATTTAAATCCGCTAGTCAGTGATTCAACTTCAGGGGGTAAACGATATCATTTGTATTGTTTTGGGTATCTTTATCATGAAAACTGTAGTAATATGAAATCATGATTATTGAGCATTGTGGTCCTTTATAAAATTGTGGATTAGAACTAAATAGACGATGTGGCTATATGATGTAGGATAATGTTTACTTTATTTGACTTACTGTACATACCAACAAAATTTCAAACAGGTGCTTCATTCATTGGTATTTTTAGCAATTATTTTATGTACAGGTTAGTACTGAAGATTATATTAACATTTAAATACCGGGTGAGAGTACATTTAAACTGTCTACCTTGTGTGTATTCAGACACCTTTTATCCCCCCAACTCCCACCACCAGATAACCGTATTGACATAAGCTCCTCAAATTTGTCAGTTCCTTTTAGTATCACAATGCTACCTGAACGTTAATATCAAGGTAAATATGAGAAATCGCTGGCATTGCACACTAAGTGCTTGTCAAACACGAACAAAAGTATTTAAATAATAAACATTTAGTCAAACTAACATCTCGTCAACCCCCCAACGCTAAGTAAAGAAGTATGACAGTAACAAAACTCTCGGTCGTTGCCAGGAATGAATCTTTTCTCTCTTGGTTGAAGCATACTTAAAAAGAAATGTATCGAATTTCCTGGTCATATATATTTGCTTGATGAATATCTAAAAGTGGACTGCATAACCACTGCTCGTCAGTTTCTATGATATCGCATGCGTTGTGTGACACTGAGACTAAAAGCGGTACAAAGTAGTATGGGAATCAGGAGCTGTACGGATTAGGATGTGAACATCGGCTACTCACACAAGAAAATCTCCAAGTTTCAGTAAGTAGCTACAGTATATGATCATTACTTCATTTAAAGTCGTATGATCTGTTTTACGGCATTTCATTTCATGTGTCATTCGCGATTTTAATAGTCAATTTTATATGGAAGCTGTTATAACAATAGATAGCATGAAACCAGAGACATAATGATTTGTATTAATTATACACATGGTAGAACTGGAAATCGAAGTTTTGTGGTTAAATATTGACATTACACGGTAAATAGTGAACACAGAAAGAAATAATACTAAAAATGCAATAAAACTTCAAGCCTGTGACACTTTTATGCAATTTTCGAAAAAAATAGGTTAAATAACGGAACTGTTGTAATCACGATCTCGCTAGCCATGTATATTTCATTAACAGTGTATATCACACGCAGTAACAACATTCTTGATACCAATCGCTAGCCACGGTCGTAACGGTAACATTTAAATAATAAATATAGGATTCAGTAACCGTTAAGAACAATAATAAAGACATGAGTTATACAAATATTTCTTACAGGAAATCATCAAGGCTTTAATGATAATGTGGTGACCATCTCTTTGGCAACGCACACGTAAAGACATGTAATTTCATCCAATATATGTTGATAAATAGAAGAATAGCAGAACGCAATATCCTTCACCAACAAGGTTTTTCAATACTAAAATTACATCAATACCTTGAAACTGGTATATAGCATGATACGAAAGATGATGAGGGGTACTTTCCTGTTATTCTATAGATTTTTAATGAAATTTTAATCATATGGTTTATATCGATAAAAAGTATCATCAAAATCAGATACACTTTTACATACATGTATAATATACTATATTGCGAAAACATCATTACATATTATCAAATTTAACGGGAAATCAATAAGGAGTAAAATTTAAAAAAAAAAACATTTAAAAATCGACGTGTAATGATGTAGGAGTTGTCGCTGAATGTGACCTATTATGAACTCGTACATTAGCTCCAAATATATTCATCGATTGTAATTTCCTGAATATCTCTAGGCAAATACCCTCTGCTTTTATACTACGCTCTAATTATTTATAATTCTTAATGTGATTTTCACCGTGCTTATTTGGGATAATGCTTTGTATATGTAAATTGAGATTTCCCTATGAAAATGTATAGCTATTCGGCCTGTCGATCATTGCGGTATGGACATAATATACATATAGGAGTGAATTAGCAACCACACAATATCTGTAGTCCGTAGTTAGTTTTCTCTATTATAATGTACAGTGCTTACTACAATAGTGTATAGGAGGAGCATTATTGCTGAATAGAATACACATAAGGCCGCTATTCACATTTTAATTAGTTTAGTGTAAAGACTAGTGACAATAGTAGACTGATCGACGGGTATACCGATCAACGTATGAAGTACACGTAATATTTATTTACACAGAAAGTTAACCCATCATATTCTCTAAAATCTTTTAATATTTGCAAATTTTCTAAATCGAAAGTTCCTTTAACGTTTTTGTTTCTGTACACATACGTAAATGCTCTGATAACGTCCACCTACTTTTCTCTTATTTGCATTTGACATTTACCAAGAGATCCGGTTAAGATCACAGAGCTTTACAGATGTAGATGTTGTTCAAAGGTTTTTACCGACCTCTCTCACTGTAAGTATATGTACATGTAAACTTCATACATAACGGAACAACGGCAACGATACCGTAGACATTTTGACAATTGTCAATATTTTGATTTACATGTGCCTATACGACTCCTGGTTACCGATGTAGATGCTGCTACCTGAACGATGAATAATCAGTATCTCGGTGTGATATCCTTGTATTGAAGGCGAATATGTGTGTATCTTATATTTCTTAAATTATGATTAACCAGGTAAGTGAATATTTATCTAACTTTATTTCATATGAACATTTCAGAATATACTGTTAAATGTAATACACTTTGTCAAATTAATAAATTATTATTTAGCCAAGTCTGGCCATGGGAAATCACACATATCATATATCTGTACACAGATTAATGGGTTAACCTATATCATGCCATGCTTCAGAACACCCATATCGAAACTTGGCAGCTATTTGAATATCTATTTAATGTTGACACACCTGTTGAATTTAAATCAGACAGGTAGAATGATAATCTATCTATAGATCGATAATCTGCATGTGGTGTCATATGGCCACATTCAACTGTACACTGCGGAGATTACCGACAGTGTAACCTGATAATGATAATGTATCGAATCAGATTAACCTCATTATATTATTTAGAATGTAGACACATAGTTGTATGATATAAAAATAAAGAAAACATTAAACGGAAAGAAAACCAGATATTTAAGATACATCTAACATCAATGATTACCAAATAAAAAACTCAGGCTATAACAAATTATTATTAACAGAAACTTAATGAATATCCAGTTTCACTCTGGAGGATTATGTATTTATAAGTCATATCCGTCATATCCATGCCTCTTTTTGTATAAAAGATATGCTTCAACCTTTTCATTTATAAAGTATGTGTCATGAATAAATAAAAATGAATACATTTTCAATAGCAAAGTATGTCAATTCAGGTTGATTTAGAGCCCGTAGGTAGGGGTATGAGCTACTCTCACGAGGCTTATTAGCAGAATTTGCGACGATACAAAAATAGATGAATTTTCTAATTCTAATTCCACTATCAAACAATTCACCTGACAACAGTTTTTGTCTACCATAGCAACAAAGGTCACCGAAGGAATTCAAACCATTGTCTGATGGCCCGTAAAATGCATTTTAAAATAAAACAGAAAAGAAATTCTTTTTAACTTGGGTTTGTGTATTGACTGTTTATGCTGGGACTTAGCGAGGCATTGTTGTTGTCATTTTGAGAAAGGACCTCTTTATTTAGGGCATACATAGCTTAACTTCATGGTAAACTAGAACCAGATAGGCTGATATTGTAAAACTGAAGTTAATCACAGCTTTGATGAGCTGAGCAAGCTTTGTAAAAGTTGCTCGGGCGAATGAGAGTGTCAAATAGGAACTCACTTTCTCGTAAATAAGTCCATGAACAATAGGAACTACCTGTTGTTATTGATCGTTGTTATAATAGGGTATGTTTTAAATATTCTTGGTGACATATCGTTTCTCAAATATTTACCTTTCTATTTAAACCGATCAAGACATTTAAATGTTTTGGCATTGAAAATAATCAGCTTGAGAGTAAAACGATTAAATATTTGTTTTTCATATTGAATTATTTATATTTCTTTTTAAAAGAATAACTTGTAAAGATGAAATAAATCACGTCTGACACAAATGACTCACCCAGCAACTATGTCAATATATGATCATACATGTAGATACATATGAATAATGCATGTTATAACTGATGTTGTGGTCATATATGCAAACACCTATAAATACAGTATGTTACACAAGTTATAATTGGTGTCTTGGTTATATCTCCTAACACTAATATGTAGTTCAATATGTGACACTTGAATAGAATAAATTTATTATTATTATTATCATTATCAATTTATCTTAAAATTATAATTAGTGAAGGTTACAACTGTTGTTTAGGTGATATTTAACTTTCAAGTGATATTTTGGTATTTTTTAAACTACACTTTATGTGTTGGTGAGATCAAAGCTACAACTGAAATTTAAGGTTATTTCTAATTTAAAACTGATGATTCGGCGTTACCTTATTTGCTACTGTGATTTGTGGGGTTTCGGTGAAATTTTAAGTTACAACTGATGTTTTGGTGATATCTAAGTTACAACTGATTGTTTGGTGATATCTAAGTTATACCTGATTGTTCGGTGATATATCAAGTTATAATTGATGGATACGTGATATATCTAAGTTATACCTGATTGTTCGGTGATATATCAAGTTATAATTGATGGATACGTGATATATCTAAGTTACAACTGATTGTTTGGTGATATATCAAGTTATAATTGATAGATACGTGATATATCTAAGTTACAACTGATTGTTTGGTCATACATCAAGTTACAATTGATGGATACGTGATATATTTAAGTTACAACTGTTGGTTTGGTTATATCTTAATTACAACTGTTGGTTTGATTATATCTTAATTACAACTGTTGGTTTGGTTATATCTTAATAACAACTGTTGGTTTGGTTATATCTTAATTACAACTGTTGGTTTAGTTATATCTTAATTACAACTGTTGGTTTGGTTATATCTTAATTACAACCGTTGGATTGGTTATATCTTAATTACAACTGTTGGTTTGGTTATATCTTAATTTCAAATGTTGGTTTAGTTATATCTTTATTAGAATTGTTGGTTTAGTTATATCTTTTTTACAACTGGTCGTTTGGTTGATCATATCTTAATTACAACTGATGGATTGGTGATATCTTAATTACAACTGTTGGATTGGTTATATCTTTTTTACAACAGTTCGTTTGATCATATCTTAATTACAATTGTTGGATTGGTTATATCTTAATTACAGCTGTTGGTTTGGTTATATCTTAATTACAACTGATGGATTGGTGATATCTAAATTACAACTGTTGGATTGGTTATATCTTTTTTTTACAACTGGTCGTTTGGTTATATCTTTATTACAACTGTTGGATTGGTTATATCTTAATTACAAGTGTTGGATTGGTTATATCTTTATTGGAATTGTTGGGTTGGTTATATCTTTATTACAACTGTTGGATTGGTTATATCTTAATTACAAGTGTTGGATTGGTTATATCTTTATTAGAATTGTTGGTTTGGTGATAACTTTTTTACAACTGGTCGTTTGGTTATATATGTTTTACAACTGTTGGTTTGATCATATCTTAATTAGACTTGATGGATTGGTGATATCTAAATTACAACTAATATTTCCTTTTCATTACAGCTGATGATTTGTTGATATCGTACTTACAGATGTTTTGTTTTTTATATCTGCTAACATTAACATACACCACGAATAGGGTTATGTCACATTACACAAAAAGATAACTTCTTGGATGTTTTTGTAATTACTTCTGTTTAGATATTAAGCAAACTCCACTTTATGTCATTCCGAAAAAAAAGAAAAGATTGTAATACAATTCTACAAGTTTAATAATAATGATAATGGTGAAAAAGTCATAAGAAATGGCACTTGAATTAATAACTATCAATAATAATTATTAATACCTTTATAGCCATATGGCACATTTTCTGTATTTCTTTATTTGAAAAGGAAAAGAAAAGGAACAGCCATATTTTCATTACAAGCTAAGTATTGTCTTTTCCTGTTTTCAATCTACAAACTGATCAGTGAAAACATACAATAAAAATGCCGCAAAACTCTCATCGGGAATTATGAACAAAATCAATTTTATTGTGTCGTATTTTATGTTATGTTACGTAGTAGATAGACTCTAAAATTGATCAATTTTCTTTGTCATTATTTCTTAATTGCTTATAGATCGTTTCAAATAACATGTATTTAGCAAACACGGGTTTGTGCTGTATCAGTGACTTAATTGGACATTATTGTCGCTTTTACGCATGAGTCATATACAAACATATATATATGCATGCACTCCCCTTTACACTATCAGTACACTGTTTCATATGAGATTTAGTTAAATCACATTGTAATAATATTTATTGGTTACAATAATAATAACAAATATCACAACATTCGTGTAAGTGGAATGGATTTGGAAAAACACCTTGTGAAGCAAACAAAAAATTGTTGTGTAAATACATAATTCATTGTATGTTTATTTACATTTACACTTGTTGTAAGACTTACTATAAATCAGGATGCAACTTTGCAACTACATTTATAGCCGACCTTGTAAGAAGGTCACACAGTAATATGCGAAAAACGACAGATCTATATATTATTTAATGATCAAGGCCATGTGCCTGTCCCACCTTACACAATGCGTTCGGAATTCTGGATTAATTAAAGGAATTCTGACACAGGCTAGCGTGACTGTCCACCATAAAAAGAAATGACTAAGTATCAACATGCCAACGCAGAGGTTATGTATACAACGCTACAAAAAGTTATGTGAGAAAGTGAAACTAGATATGTATGTTGATACGTACTGACTCTCTCCGAAAGTGTACACGGGACCATTGCCTGGTCTATTTCTGGTGACAGATTAACTCGAAATCACTGCAGTGCTAGTAAGGTATTGTGTTGTCGTGTTGTCTCTCGGTTGTATGTTTGTGTATCGTTTGTTGTCATGTACACCTGAATAGTGGACTGAGTGACCTCATCATCTGATGTTTTACTCCATAAAGGAAGCTGCAATGTCTGTCCAACTTGAAATTACAACGTAATTGTCCTTACTTTATCTATTTACCTTCCATATACTATAGCGACACGATACATGACTACTCAATTTATATTACAATATTCACTCCATTTGTCGGAGCTCCTATTGACTCAGAATTAGATAACGTTTAACCACAAGTGTAGGACTAATTCATCATAAAGCATATGAAGGATCAGTAAACACTATATGTCAGTCAACACAACCCGTGTACCAATTAGGATTGAGTATATGTTATACATACGATAAAGTCAACTTATTAATTAAGGTAATAAAATTTCAAAACAAACATGTTTTATATAAGAAATACCAATATATAGTTATCAGGTAAACTTTGATATCGATATCACAGATCAAGTACTAGTAAATAACAATAAATAATGTTCATTGTGTGTTGTCAAATTCGATGAATAATATATGCTACGGTATGCAAATGAGATAATTTCTATATAAAATATTGCAGGATAATTACATGTTTATATTAGCACACGGTGTTTTCAAGATTTGTCAAGAGAACACTTTTCTCATCGCCTGCACATGGATAAAATCGAGAGACAACCGCAGGTGCATTCAAGGTTTTATCCACGTGCTGGTGATGAAAAATTTGTTTGAACAAGAAACCCTGAAAACACTTTGAAATGAACTGTTTATCTTCTATTTACTATTACCTTATATATTTATCTATTTAAAAAGTCTTTTCTATATGCACTTTCACGCCTAGGATGATGTTGTTGTTCTCACAATATGTTTTCATAATTTTATAATGTTTTGTTTATGACGGACTATTTTCCTACCCGGGATGTCGTTGTATGGTTACTATTTCCGGTTCATGACGTTTACTAGCGCGAAAAAACATTCCATTTGAAGACAGTCCATTTCCAAATGAAATGGTTAAAGTTATTCTAAAGTCGTTTTCAACTTCCTATGAACCCAACCCTCATACTGTATCATACTGTATCATACTGTCAACACAAAAGTCGTTATTAGTTATTCATAAATAATAAATTGATCACGCTACTGGTAAAGGTATAATGCAGTATATAAATTATTAATTATACATGTACGTTCATTACGTATAAAGCAAACGCAATCATTTACAAAATATGAAGAAATTCTTTGTGTATCAGGCTACAAGGACACTTAGTTTCAATGTCGGTCAATGAACTGCATCGATCCAGATTGTGGTTTTCATTCGATTTGGACTGCTATATGTTCCTGTTATTTCTTCTGTTTGTGTAGGAATCTATATGGCAGTTGTTTACAACATTCTAGATTTAAGTAACTTTTTATCTTTTGATATGGTAGGCGTTTAAGTTAATTATATAATTAACTACCCTTTGTAACTATCAGCAATGTGTACGCATTCAGCCGAGTTAGGTCTCCTGAACAGGGATTTATGTTGGAACGTAGGGTATTATCCCATAATATATTTATTTGAATTCTGAATTCCAAGTAAGAAAGAAAATCAGAGTTTAGAATATACATGTTCCATCTTATTTTTTCAGGTTTTAATTGCTATTATGAAAATGAGGTTTATATACTAATTCGCGATATATCATTTTGTTACATTTTAGATCCGAAACATATTATGGTATGCAGCAAAATACGCATGTCAGGGTTGAACGCAGGGTAAGAACCAGTGAGGCATATTTCGATGGCACGAGGACGGTTCAAGTGAGAGAGACTGGGATATTTCCTACCAAACAGAGCTAGGCATATCATCTGATACCAGACATTCTCATCAAATTGGCTTAACGTATTGAAAACTGAGAGGGTAGCCAAGAGAACACACGTTTGAAATAGACATCGAATGGGATGTGAGTGAGGCAATCATTTTTGGTTGTCACCATAGTTGATGCAAGAGGATCCCAGTCAGATTGACCTCTTCAGTGGCAAGTGGCATGATTCAAGAAAGACTGATTCAGATATCTGACACTGGTAGGTATTGTAATAATACTGAACTAGGAAGTTGACACTAGGAGGGATCTAAGGAGACAAATATCACAGGCTGACACTACGAGGATTTCAGTGAGATGAATGACCGACTTCTGTGATGTCTAACAACAACGCCGTCACACACGATAATGACCGGTTACATCAACTCTCCGCCTAAGCCCATTACTATACAGCACCGACTGTATATTATCAACAAGGCGGGCACCGGCGAGGCCCACTATATCATCCTGACACCCGACCACTCAGATATTCTGTCCTACCAGGTCAAAACTGATCACTGGAAAGCGACCAAAGACATTTGTAACTTCGGTGCCGCCGTAGTTGATAATCTGCTGTATATATTTGGAGGATACAATAAACGATCAGCCAAACATCTGGATGCGTGCTTCAGGTAAAATCACATTCATGCTGATACATGGGAAAGTAACCTTTTTTCAGAAATAAAGTATAGATTCCGTTACAGATGTTTCAATGAACGTGGGATAAACTCACTGACCTGCTGGTTGTGGCTGAGGTAAATTTTAATATATGTCGACCATTATTTTCGGTAATCAAATATATTTGTTTGTGTTCTTTAAGTAAATTAACACAGACGTTTTTCAAGAAAATTCCTTGTAAACTTAAATATATGTTTATTAGCGTTTCAGGTCAACTAATAAACATGTTAATTGGCGTCTGAATAAAAAGACATTCATAACAGATACTTGTTAATAAGTTTGGTTAAAAAGTGAAAGCAGTTGTTATTTTCTTCTTATGAAGGTAACTCTAGTGTCAACATCAAATTTTCATAGTCAAATAGAATAATGTATCAAGCAACAGCGTAAATACTATTCCGGCGTCAAGACACAATTTTAAAATCTACCACGGCATCAAATGCACAATTGTAAAATCTACCACAGCGTTATCACATTAATATCAATTCTACCACGGCATAAACACACAATTCTAAAATCTACCACGGCATCAACACACAATTCTAAAATTGACCACGGCGTCAACACACAATCAAAAAAAATATCACGGCATCAACACATATTTATAAAATCTACCAGGCGTCACCACACAATTATTACATTTACCACGGCGTCAACAGACAATCACGAAATCTATAACAACATCAACACACAATCATGAAATATCACGCTATCATACACAATTATAAAATCAAAAGTCTACGCAAAAAAATATTGACGAGGTTAATTCTCTATTTATGTTTATCACAGATACAACCCATTTGAGGGCGTATGGTCTGCTTTACCTCCCATGCCAAGACCACGGGCCAAGTTTTCTACTGCTGTTGTTAAAGGAAAGATAATAGTTACTGGTAGGTACAGTATATACACCAACAACTACCACGTGACTAGTGTTGTTTGATGATATTGACGTTGTTGAAGTATGTTTGATTTAAATGACGGGACGTATATTGCTTGTTGTGTAGTTTACTATAATGGCGTAATGTGTATAGTTGATGTATGGTAGACGACAACGGCTTGACGTATATTATATGTTGTATAACTGACTATAATGACGTGACATGTGTTGTTGAATATGGTTGATGATAATCACATGACGTGTTGTGTTGATTTTTGGTTGACAATAACGACGTGGCATTATTAATAATTTGATGTTTAACGGACTGTAATGAGGTGACGTGTATTGTTGATGTATGGCTGATGATAATCACGTGACGTGTAATTGTTGATGTATGGCTGATGATAACCATGTGCCGTGTAATTGTTAATGAATTGTTGTCGATATTGACGTGATGTGTATTGTTGATGAATTGTTGACGATATTGACGTGATGTGTATTGTTGATGAATTGTTGACGGTATTGACGTGACGTATATTGTCGAAATTATTGTTGACGCTAATGACGGGACTTATATTGTTCTATGTATGACTGTTATGACATGACGTTATTTGCTATGTATAGCTGACAACAACGATGTTATGTGTATTGTTTGCGTATATTTGATGTGTGGTTGCCAATAAAGAGAAAAGTGTATTGCTTTATCCATAGTCTAAGTTAACGACTAACGTGTATCGGTATGGCTGTTTTTGAAATACGTTACAGATTGAGACATAATCATTTAGGTTGAAATAAACAACATTATACCATGTCACCTTAGATGGTTTGGTGTTGTGAAACATAAGCAGACATGTATAATGCAGGTCCCCGTTTCGTGTATTTCAAATAAAGAGCATGACCGAAAATCATGTAGACCTGACGAAAATCAATAATATTCAGTTATTGTTATCACATCAAGAATAACACAAGCAGGTAAATACACCATCATTCCTTGCCTCCAGCACACATACATACATACTGTAGTACACATGGAGGCACGTCCTTAAATGACCTTAGCTGTTAATAGGACGTAAACGCTTTAATACCAAACCAAAACCAAATAAAGAATAACAATTAAATTAGTTGGCTAATCTGAAATGTAATTATAAAGCATGGTAGAACACGGACAGCCTAATTAACTTTATTGCTGTTTCTGTATTGAGTACCATATTGTGATATCATTCCATACCCTGAATAAATAGAATGTTATGGTAGTACAGCTTATGCAAATACATTTATCAAATTAAATTTCTTCTACTCAGCGTGTTTTGTTTACTGTTCAGAGCACTGTTGTTATCATGGTTTCAAAACCTAACAACAACAGTTGAAATGGAGTTAAGTTTTACAGAACACAAAGTAACTGCTCGCTGATTAAATTATATCAAAGTGTTTTTTTTGTTTGCAAATAGTTTAGAGGAATAAAAATGAATATATTTGTCTTAACCTATAAATAATCAATAAAAGCTTCATCGAACATGTAACAATAACAGTCATAGACACATCCCACTAAGCGACGTCAACACATAAAGTGATTTAATGGGACAACACATCCGTATCTCGTTTCCACCAGCTTCCGTTGGCTTGATTGCAAACTCATAATATATTGATGTGTTTTAACATGTAGATTATTGTTTCCGTGTATTCTCACAGGAGTTATTAATCATGGACTGAAATATGCCCGGACATTCAACTTAAGGTGCCCATTAAAGGTTAAGCGATACCAAAAAATGCCCTACAGCAAACTACATTATCAAAATATAATATCAAAGCCATCTCATTCTGTGTTACATCTTGTTCAAGTATACGTGTGTTGCTCTCTTTATGTCTACACGTTACTTCAGAAGACTCCCCCGGATCTCCTTTTGCTTCCTTGTGAGTTATCGTGTCTTATTGTAAAGGGATGTCAATGCACTGATACATACAGGATGACCTGACCTTATTGTCTGAGATTACGGTCAATTAAAATAAAGGAGTTGTTTATATGGAACGTTTATAGTACACTTAGGTGAGTTTGTAAAATATCTATAAAACAAATCCCAGATGTGTTGCCAATGGGACTGGTTTAGATCAGCGCTGGTATTCAGGTCAGAATGTTTTGTTTTCGTTATCTTTCTGTAGACTAAGTGATTATGCTTTAAAACAATTAAGCTCTTTTTATAAATAATTAATCCTGCACGGTCACACTAATCAGTCAAAATGAAGTGTATCTGTTAATGGTGTTATTTATAATACAGGAGTATGTAAATAGTCAACGTTCACTTGGGTCACAATGACTAACCGTAAACCAATGTACCCGTACAATCAGACTATCCGTCTCTGCCGTGATGCAACGTTAGTTTATTTGAATACAAGTTAGACTGTGCAGCATTTCTAAAGAAAAGGTTACCGTTGGCCTTCTACAACACCGAAGGACAATTGTCCTGACTGTTTCTATAAATAGCCTTGCAATTCATATTTAATAACCAAAGTAACAATGATTAACGCTTTAGATAATCGTATCAAACAAATCAGCGGCCAAAACTTGTTCACTGTTTGCTTTGGCCGAGGGAAACCGGTATCTTCTTAAACTCAAAGATCAAACTGTTGTCCAAGTCCGTTGGCTGAATATAGCAGTTCGAATAAGTCCTCGGATAACATCGAGAGATCATTCAAACATAAAAATACATACATTGTACCATAGAAATGTCCTAAGTTCAGTAAATAGGTTCTTCTACAATTTCGAGAAAACAAAAAGCATTATGACAATGCTGTAATTGTTGAAATATGTGTAACCGAACTTAAAAAAGACTAATGCGATAGTCATAATACCAGCAAAAAGGTCCACTTAAACAGCATCAGTTTAAATGGTCGGGCCACCAGTTGTAAAGTGCCATCGAGATTCTTTCTCTAAACCGGCCATAGAAACAGTACATTGTTTCTGTTTTACATAGTTTGTATACGAGTAACTTGATATGGTGTTGACGTACGAGAAAGTCAAAACTAGCTAAAATTTATTTATTTAAATTTGTATAGAGGACTGTGTTATACTTCAAAAAAATGTAACGATACATTATTTTAATCAAAGTATGAATGTGAAGTAAAACAAAGCATTACAACGACCAGTAAACTATGACGACACTTGTCAATATATGTTATTGGTTGAACGCGTGTTGTAGGTTAATACATGTACACTCCAACGAGTGCCACAATGATGTGTTTTATGTCAAATATATTCCAAATATATAAATAAATAAATAAAACTTAATTGAAAAGTTCTAAAATGAAAGGGATTAAACCTTACAGTTGTTCATATAATAAACATTTGAATCAACATTGAGTTAAATTTGTATCTATCCATGTCGTCGACAGATGCGTAATTCCAAATCAGTGTGAAAACGAATGCATCAAAACATTATCTTGGCGTTATATAAGTCACAGTTCGTTCTCTCTGCAACGATGTCCTATGATGAACTAAAGGTAAAATATTTCGAAATTCAGAAACAAATATTTTCTTTTTCTTTTTTAAAGGTGGTGAGCTACCAGATGGGCGACAATCGGTTATGTGTGATATGTTTGATCCAGTCAAAGATACATGGACAGAATTACGCCCCTTGATATCCCCACGTTCAAACCACGCATGCGCTGTATTCAATGATGATATTTACTGTGCTGGAGGATGTAACGGGAATAAGTTTCACAACAACCTATGGTGGGTAAATTTTCTGTTAATTTCATATTGTTGTTTTACTAACCGAAATAAAAGTTAAACTCACAATTCTAAACAACACTGGAATATGAAAAATGGTAGGAAATTTAACACAAGGACACTAATTTCAACAGCTGAAGGTCGATCCATAGGTCTTTCTAATGGTGACATAGGCCCACCCACAAACATATTTCGTGTGTCTATGAGATCAAAAGCTTGATTTAATGTTGTCCGCTTATTTTTAATTGTTTGTTGTGAATTCCTATACGAAGGTCTACATGTTTTTATTAATGTTTATTCCTAATCTTTAGGTACTTTGGACCTTCACATTGTCTCCCTAATATACTTCTATAATCTTCTACCTTCCCATTATTTCATACTTCATATGCTTCAGTTTTGCGCCGCATGTCTGCAATTATCAATACATGTCATATCAAAAACATAATCACAAAATGAATAATAGATATCGACAAATGAAAACATCCAAGTCATAAATTAACTCATCGTTGAGTCATTGTATTTATCATGAATTCATACATTTCAATACGGACGTATGACTTTCATTGTAAAGTAAGGTTGGTTTTCCCGTAGGATACAGACGTGAGGTCGTTACAGATATGAAACTCATTAAAATTGGCGTCTTCTTTCTAATGGTGATATTTGCCCACCAACTACTATAGCATGTGAGTCTATTACAGTCAATTATCTCATCTTTGTCGTCAGCTTGCTCTATTTTACGCTTACCATATCATGTTATTGGACAGTTTTGATTAAGGTCTTTGGCTGAATATTGAAAATCCAAATGATTTATTTGTTTAATTTCTGGTACAAATTTGTCACGATAAAGAACTTAAACGGTCAGATATTTTTCTCTGCTCATGTGTTGTTCAGGAAATACAACACTATAATGTCAATAAGTTCCACACGTGTTACAGTAAATGTCCCACCCATCTGGATACCTAAGTGTCGTCTGCGGATTTTTTGCTTTTGCTTTTGTTTAATTTTGAGTCTCTCCGATTACAGTTGTTGTATTTTCGTGTCGAATTCTGATTGTCATTTTGTGCCTGCTGCATTATCACTCACTATGCGAGATCTATGTCTAATCTTTTATGACCTTTGAAACACACGAAACGATTCAGAATTCAGGTAATCAATCTGACTGTTTACAAATTGTGAAATACATATAGTTACCGAAACGTAAGGAATAAAACAATTCTAGGTATCATGAAACATCTATAGCAACACAAAGACGTAGACATAGAAATGATGTGAACAGATATTTTTGAAAATAATCACATCTCCCTATTTAACCTATGCTATTGCTCAGAAGCTTATAGTATGTACCCTTATATATAAACAGGTATTTAGATAAGGCATATTATAGCGATAAAAAGCATGACTTACCTGTCGGAGGTGTCAGTTTCCATGAGTTTGATTTGTTGTTGGTACAGTGAATCCCACGCCTGTCCAATTAGTACTAATCCAACCTTCCATCAAACGTCGTCATGGTATACAGGCTCTATTCCCTGAACAAATAAAACCAAGCGGCAAGACATGCAACGGAACAAATCAATACATTTCTAGAAATGTATATTTTCCGAATACATGATTAGTTATGCTTTTCAAATAAAATTAAGTTGAAAGGAGATTTCTTTAAATGCTCACATTGACTTAACACAACACTTTTCACACCGTTAAGTTGGCGTATATGACCAGTATGTTACGTCCTATCACGTTAGATCACGTAAACTTAATAACATGATAGCCATGAGACCAAACATTGATAACCCAGCAGGTGGAGCCACTATCGACGGCTCGTCGGCGTATCAGGATGGGTTTACGACTCAGTGACAGGGCCGTTTTTTATTGTTTTATATGATTTCATAGTCGCAGGCAACAGTTGCTTGGTTGGCTGTACCCAGTGTATTGACAGGAAAATCATTACGATTGTATATATCATTAATTGTAGAATAGCATGTCCGTATATATTATGCATTACTTAATGATGTTTTCAACATGCATAATTCAGTTCACAAGTGGGAATTGTCAATATCATGTCAGGAACTGGATATTGAATCTATCAAATGGGCCAATCATAGTATTGATATTAATTAACTATTGTTTGGTACTTTTTATATCAAAACAATATAATGCCACTTATTTATGTGCAATACTTAGGTACATGCAGCAATAGAGATAACTATATCAGCGGAGTGTAATTCCGTAACAGAAACTGTGGTTTTCTCGGAAAGGTTCACACATCCTGGTGTATAGCATGTGAAGTTTACTTATAAAATAATAACCCAGGCTTTAAACCTCTTTACAGCAGATGAGCTTTTTGAAGATATCTTTTGATCATTTTTAAAATTATTAATAAATGTAGAATTATATCTTTCAACATATACAAATGGAAAGCTGTCAAATAATTATCAAATCACATGTTTATGTCTTTTAATATAGATTTTAGACACGGTTAATACATTTACAACAGGTTTTAATAGTTCCTAAAACTGTCACTTGTTGATGAAAGTGATGCCTGCTGTTCATGTTACGTTTAATATACACAAACACACTATAATCTTTGTCGTCAGCTTTTGCATGTGCTTGCTACAATCATACCATACCTACAATACAAAACTTTAAAGCAATAGAACAGGCTGATTTCATGTTTTAAAGCATGTGATACTGACTCTGGTTCCTGAGCTATACCGAGTTGCTAGAAAGACAGATTAACGCATTATTAAAACAGGTGAAGGATATTGAAGAGTCTCTGTTTGTCCCAAGATATTACTTATTTGTTCCAGTCCTTCATTTGCGCAATATTCAGAAATAGCTAGGTAGTTACTAAACGTAGCCATTCTTGTTTTTTTGAAAAACTCTGTCTGAAACATCAATTAATTTGATCGTTCATTATCACAAGACGTACATGTACATACAAATAACTACTTTAAAAAATAATTTTGGCACTGTAAAATTCCGCACCTATCTAGGATTCATGTTATCAAATTTGTAAAGCTGGAGTTTGCGACCTGACATTATATATTTACATTAGCTACTACATATGTGTTATTGTAAATGGGAATATATACCCACTATCAATGCTTATCACTATAATTTACGCGCTGTAAATGCTAAATGCTAGTATATATTCACAATTAATTGGAAATAATGCTATGTTTGGAAAATGGTGATGATTATGTACCGCCATCACTGACCTACATACCACTATAACTATCTTTTCATTTCTATTGTCTAAACTACCGCCATCAATGTCCTACATACCATTATCACTGTCTTATCATTTCCATTGTCTTACCTATCACGATCGCTATCTGACTAACCACATCATTTTGGTTAGAAAAACCTCGGTACAGCCTCGGGTTTGACCAAAATTCTGTACATGTGGATCAGACGTTTCTATCCTACATCACTTACATATGATAAAGTCATATATTCTGATTGATGATTCAAATAATTCTTTACTCATTTTTCAGATTTTACAACCAATACATCCACAATACTGTGTTATTCCTTTGCTTTTGTTGTACTGTTTATGTGCAATACTTTTGATGTCTCTTTAGAAATGGACTATTTGGGGACCGGTAAAAGCCTGATGTCCATGTTCGTGTCACCAGAATGTTATATAAACACCAGAAATGTCTTACACATTATGAGGCTAGGTTAGGAACGAGATTCCCCACCATAGTATTTAACTCTCTTCTCTTGTAAATACGACTACAATTAATATATCGAATAACCTAACAAACGATAATGATATTCACACAGTTTTATAATTGCATTGTCTCACCTGTAAATTTGCTCGTTGTCTGTGTCCCAACGATACTACATCACAGTCTCGTATGGCCCGTACACCTGTAATTCCAGGCTGCCCACAGCTGTCACATGCCCTCTATCTCGTGTCATTCATGTTGCTATTGTATTAACTTCTAACCAATTTTCTCTGTTATACACTTGTTTTCCAATAATAGCCGATGATTGTTCGATTAGTGCTTGAAATTAGCACGGAATTATTAGACTCGTGCAGCTGTTGTTTTTATATTGATCAACTTAATATTTTATTTTTGAAATGATAACTGATGTAAAGAAAATCACCAATAAGGTATAATCTACATCAAACTAGCACGAAGCAATATTAACCAGCTACGACTTTATCTGTACTAGGATTCTTCCAAACATATCGTGATTAACCAGAATCGCTCCATGCTACAAGATAACGTACCTGACTAGGGCCCGGATGGCATGAAGACTCGGTGGAGTTGTAAATCTAGCTCAGGCACAGCAATATCCGGTTATGCTGCTGTGACTGGCGTCACATTTAGCCAACGCAGATTCCATCAGTATAAGTGGACAACCACCGAACGGAATAACACACACAGTGACTTCAACGACCCCATCACTTCAATGAAATTTCGAATTATATATAAAATAGCTTTCCTGTACTGTTAGCTACGGTAGTCAACGAAGGTTAAAAACCTGCAGGCTTGGGGCGCACTAATTGGCCTGCTGGTTCCTACTTAATGATAATAGAATACCACTTAAAAATGTCCCTTCACAATCATGGGATTTCCTATATGTGGTCTGTGTCAGGGGATAATAACACACCAATATTAATGTGTTTTAGTCATTGCAACACTTTTGCTTTTATTTTATTCTTCCGTGTCTCTATTGCTGCTCTCTGTTTCCTTTGACAAACATCACAATATGGTCCAAAGGCAATGCCAATAATAACTCTAAACAAACATACTTTAAACCTTCAGTGCAAAATTTCTATTAAGAGATCAGGCTTTTGAACTTACCTGTTTGCCTGCAGCTTTGAACTGTCGTGTCGAAACGTAAACTAACGTAGAAAATTATAATACCACAGCATTCACACACAATAAACTTTTAACAAAGTGTCAACAAACACAAACAACATTAACAACAGCGTCAACACTCAAACACACAATTTACCCCAGCGTCAACACTCACACATACCATTTACG